CACACACACACACACACACACACACACATCTTTAATCACATTCTTAAGAGGAAGCTCTCTGATTCACAGCTTAATGGATGCAGTCACTCTACAAATGTGAGAAAAAAATTAACTGGAAATTTCTCTTCTGGCTCTAGGAATTTGAAGGCTATATTAATGCTTCTGGAAAACATGGAATTGTGGTTTTCTCTTTGGGCTCAATGGTCTCGGAGATTCCAGAGAAGAGAGCTATGGAAATTGCTGATGCTTTGGGCAAAATACCTCAGACGGTAAGAAGATTCCATACAATTCTTTCATATCTATCTTCACAAGAGTTCTAACCCCAGACTTCCAGTGTGTACATTAGTTCTATTAGTTGGACTTTAACTTGGATTTTCCCTGCCACTCCCCAATTATTAATCCAAAGTTGTTCTTTTTGCCATTTTACTCATAGCTGCTCTGTTAAACCATGGTCCAATTTGCCTGGAGGCCTCATTTTCTCTAAGAGACTTGAAAGTGCATTAAGGAGAATTTATTTTAAAAGCAAAATAAACAAGAGAGTGATTCTTCATATTAAATAGAAATATTTCTCCAAAAAGCTGTTGGTTAGGAAACTGGATTTATTTCTTATATTTCTACTTTTATACTTCTACACCCACTTATTTTATTAAGTAGACATTCCCTCAAAGTGCAAAAAAGTGTAAAAATCATAAATGTACAGCTTGATGAATTCCCACAAATTCATAGAACGTTACCAGCCTCCAGGGCCTTCTTAGTCACTACACCGCCCACCCCTGCCAAGGTTATGTTCATTCAGAGGACTCTACTTTCTAGTTACTATAGCAGATTTCTTTTTCTCTTAAAAATAAAACAAAACCCTATTATATTCTTTAAACTCTCTTCTTGTCTCCAAGGTCCTATGGCGGTACACTGGAGCGCCACCATCAAATCTTGCGAAGAATACAATCCTTGTCAAGTGGCTGCCCCAAAATGATCTGCTTGGTATGTGGAGAGGATCTGATGTGTAGGTCAAACCAAAGTTAAAGTAAGAGAGTGGCTTAGGCATGGCCATTCTAAAGAATTGTTTAGCTGGAAAATATTATGGCCAACATGTCCCATGTTGCTTTTTACCCAGTGGGGGCATCTCAACCCACATTTTCTTCTGCAAACTTCCGCTAGGGCCACACGTGGAGAGCACTGAGTCCTTAGCGTGCTTTCAGAGCCTAGATGATGCCAGAATGTGAAATTCAGCGACTTGATCACCTGCATCCCTCCATTTTTGCGTCTCAGGTCACCCGAAGACCCGTGCCTTTATCACACATTCTGGCTCCCATGGCATTTACGAGGGTATATGCAACGGCGTTCCCATGGTGATGCTGCCCTTGTTTGGTGACCAGATGGACAATGCAAAGCGCATAGAGACCCGGGGAGCTGGTGTGACCTTGAACGTCCTGGAAATGACTTCTGAAGATTTAGAAAACGCCCTCAAAACTGTCATCAATAACAAAAGGTAAGAGAGAAGGTACGGGGAGTACTACTTGTGTTTTGGCCATCCATTCACAATAAATACTCAAATATGAAAACAAATACATAAAAATCTAATTTGTAAGTAAGACACTTTGGGGGTTATTATCATTTTATAAAAAGATGCTTTGATTCCTATAGATTTTATCATAGATATGATTTTAAATTATTATTTTCCCCGGTAGATTTAAAACTTGATTTATATTTAAAAATGTCACCATGATAGATGTCTGAACTATAAATTCCTGCAGAGAGAGAACTATTCCATTCCAAGAAGCATAATGCCCACAAGAGAAAAACAAACCAGTTGCTTAGAAGTATATATTTCCTAGCACTGAAGCCTGTGGCGAATTTTGTCCATGGGGATTTAAAAATGCGTGTGTGTGTGATGTGATATCACTTAACATAAAAGGCTTATAATAAAAGCAAGACAAGTTTGTTCAAATGTGGCTCTGAAAATGAGTCAAAGGGCAAAATCCATCAAATTCAATGATCTCTGAAATTTATTGTACAGCTGTCGAGCTCACAGGTAATATTGGCTGATCAAACCTTAGGGAAAGAAGTGATGGCCAGGGGTAGTCTTCATCCAACAATCAATAATGTGTGTGCGTGCGCGTGTGAGTGTGTGCACGTGTGTGTGCACGCATGCGTGAGTGTGTGTGTCTATGAGAGTCAGCAGCCTTCACCTGTAGTTGCTTCATTTCGGAAGAGACAGCAGTCAGGAGGGCAGGTGTGGATCCCTGGAGTGTGTTCAGATGGGAGGCGACATGACACAGGGGGCCACACTGAACCAAGACAAGGAAAAACGGGGAAGAATGATGGTGCTCACGTGTGCATGGTGCCAGTGGATAGAAAAGAAACATCCACATAACCCCAGGGTATTGACTAACCACCTGCCCAGAGCAGTTGGTGAGGTTCTCACCCCTTCATTCCAATTGGTTGCTTCTGGAAGCCTGGTTTGTCAGCGTCAGGCCATGCTGCTCACACATCAAAACAGCCAAAACTGACTTCTCTCCATGGACTGATGAAACTCGTTCTTGGGGCTCACATATAATGTTGATCTTTTGTTCAGTGGTATAGACAACTCCTGGAAACCTAAAAATGACTTGGTACAAGTTCTTTGGTACACGGTTGTTTAACAAAAAAACTTATTATTTAAGATATTAACTAACTTCATCTATTCATTTTTGAGCCATCTCTATCTGAAAGTGAATCTCCGGTTCCCAACACTCTAAGCTTGGGCTGTACCTACATAAAATAAATAAAAATGGGAAAATTTTAAACAGCAGACTATACAATCAGGTCATAACAGGTACTCAATAAGTAAATAATGAATGAATGAATGAATGTCCAAGAAAATCTCCCTTGAGTAAGAGAAGATTTATATAAAAGGAAGGCGTTGAACAGGATTTATGGCCACATAGTATTATTACATTACAATAATGTATCCAAGTAAAATGACAGACATGTTTAATTACTCCCCAATAGAAGTGTCTTTTTCCTCTTTTCTCTTTTCTTTCCCTTCTGCTTCTCTTCCTCCTCCCTCCTATTCCTGTTCCTTCTCTTCCTTCTCCTAATGTATGTATACTAAGCATTGAAGCATTTTGGATTTGGGTGTTCTGATTCAGCTTTCAACATTGTGCAAAATAAGCAGGAATCCATTTTGCTTTAGCAGGCTGCATAGACACAGCCTCATGCTAAATTTAGCCCTTGGATGGTTTGTTTCAACAATCACACCGAAAATAGATACCATCGTCATGGAGACGGCACCAGAACAAGGGCTTTTTACTCTGGCTAGATGTGATTGTTTACAAATTCAAATGGGAAGTAGTTCCTAATCTCTGACATGACCTTTTCCGTGATTTCTTTGTCCTGCTATAAAGAAAGTATAATCTAATTTCCTACAAAAATATCACTAAAAAGAAAACAAGAAAAGTAACAAGCAGGTTTTGAATAATTTAAAATTATAATTTTGACTTCCAGCTTTCTTTCTTTTTTTTTTAAGAGATAAAGAACATTGTGTGTGTGTGTGTGTGTGTGTGTGTGTGTGTGTGCGCGCGCGCGCGCGCGCGGTTGTTATAACAGGGACACATTTCCTCAAGTTTGGGAAAAGCTGGTAGCGTTTCTAACTGGGACTATGGGAGCAAGTATACAAGCATAAGGGGAGGACAGTTCCCTACATTGGTGACCCACGCATTCACGTAACTGTCTTTGTGTTTAGCTATAAGGAAAACATCATGCGCCTCTCCAGCCTTCACAAGGACCGCCCCATTGAGCCGCTGGACCTGGCCGTGTTCTGGGTGGAATTCGTGATGAGGCACAAGGGGGCGCCGCATCTGCGCCCCGCAGCCCACGACCTCACCTGGTACCAGTACCACTCTTTGGACGTCGTTGGCTTCCTCTTGGCCATCGTGCTGGGCGTCGCCTTCATTGTCTATAAATGTTGTGCCTTCGGCTACCGGAAATGCTGTGGGAAAAAAGGGCGCGTTAAGAAATCTCACAAATCCAAGGCGCACTGAGAAGTGGGTGACCCAAACTTGCCAACAGACTCTGTCAAATTCGTGCTAAGCTCCTTGAAGAGACACTTGCCGTGTTAGACACCCCGGAGTGCTCTCTAAAAATAAAAATAATTTAATTGCTAGTCACCCCTGTATGTAAAAAATATTGGAATATGTTTTCTGCCCCCTCCGGCATCTTTAATCTGAACTACACTTGCCATCTTTCAAATGACTTTCCAAAAGGGCTGGATAGGTGTCTCCTTCACGCTGCATTACTTTTCCTAGAAATGGCATCTTTGGGAAGACACAGCTGCCTCCACCTTGGATGATGGTTCTAACATCACCTGGCTTCTGGCAGGATTCACAGCCAGGCTGTTGTGATAATGGCAGATCCTAATTTAAGCTGTGCTTCACAGATGTCACTTTGTGTATTTAAAGAAGGGAATGTTTGGGCCGGCCGAGTGGCTCAGTTGGTTAAGAGCTCGCTCAAGAGTTTGAGCTCTGAGCAACAGCGGTTTGAGTCCAGCCCGAGCTGAGCAGCCGCTGAGCTGCCAATAGGTAGCAGGATGGCTCAGCTAAAAAAATAAATAAATAAAAATAAATAAATAAAAATAAAGAAGGGAATGTTTATTCTTTTAGGGCATAGCACCTTATACTTGAAATGAATGAACGGCAGAGTCCTTTGAGAACAGTATGTGATTTTTTTCCTTCGGTGCGGGGAAAGAATGATATGTTAGCAATGGGTGGTATGTTTGAGAGGATAATCATTGCTTGTGTCAAATGGATCTGAATGTGATAAAAACCCAAAGTATAGTGTCTGGCAAATATATTTTTCTCTGATGTTTCCCACCACTAAAAACATATTAATAAATTTATCTAAATTATATTTTGTAGATGTTCTTCTTTTCACTGGTATTGCATTTATTTATTGTTAAATTACATGTTCTAATTACAAAAGTAATGCATGATTATGGCAAAAAAAATTGAAAAATACAGAGGTGTATGCATGCACACACAAGAAAATTAAAATCGCCCATAATCCCATCCTCAGAAATAATCATGGTTACAGTTTTGGCAAATATATGTAAAATATTGCAGCTACACCAGATACATCCACTGCTGTCTAGTATTCTTCACTTCACACTATCATGATTGTTCTCCCCAGGTCTTTGTATAATATTTAATTTGTTTATTTTGTGGCCAAGGACTATTTTATTGCATGGATTTATCAGGATGTATTTAACCACAACTTCTGGGTGGGTCCGCTTTTATTTTCTTGTATAAAAAAAGGCCCTCACTGAATGTCTTAGTAGCTAAGTCTTTGCACAAATTCATGACTATTTCCATGGGAAAGTGCTTTCTAACAAATCAATGGTTGTCTCAGCTTGGGTTCCCCTGTGGCGATGATCCAAGGGCAAGTGGTTTATTTGGGAACTGAAGGAAACCCTGACAGGGGAGTGGGAGTGGGACGGGCAGCGATGGCCACCAAGAAGTTGGCTCGCCTGTGGGAGACTGGAGCTGAATCCCTTTGGTTGATGGTGGGAGCCAGTGCAGAAAATGCACCGGACTTAAACCGCCAAGAAGCAAGGCCCTTGGGTGTCTGAGTACTCGCCCTGTCAGTAATTGGCTGCTCCCAAGTGGTATTAATTTCCTCGCACTTCCCGTGAGCATGGGTGGTTCCAAAGGCCAGAGAACTCTCAGTAGAGACATACAGGTGAGGTGGTGGAGGTGGGCTTGTGCACTAAAGAGATGAGAACACAGGGCATCTGGGTGGGGCCCTGCCACACTGTACTGCTACCCTGAGCAAATGGTTTGCTATAGTCCCAAACTGCATCCTGAGGTGGTGTGAGAGAGCCAGGGTCCCACACCTCTTTAGTATAAAGTAATACCTTATAAAAAAAAGAACCCCAAAAAACAGAAAAACAACACATCCGTTTGATAGGCGAAAAGTGGGATCTTGTTTTAAATTTGATTTTACTATTATTACTATTAAAAGTTGAATTTTTTTTTTACCTAGCTTGTGAGCCATGCGTATTTCTTTTTTGGTTCCTTTGCCTGTTTTCTGAGAGGGCGTATTACCTGGAGGATTTGCTCAGAGTGCTTACCACGCTAATGACCTGTCATGTGCTGTATGCATTTTCTCCACTTGTTCTTTGCCTTTCGTTTTGTTCAGACTTCTATTTGTGTGTTGCTTTGGGTTACATGTAGAAGTTTTAAGTGAGTAGGCTTCCAGTGGGTGTCCCGGGGATAGCCAGGACTTCTGACCCTGGCCCCATTTACTTCTCCCTTGGGCTGCTTTTGGGTCACATGTTCCCTCCCCACATCTTTGTTGGATCCCTGTGGTGACGCTTGGACTATTTCCACCCTCCTTCCAGGCCCTTCCCTGTTCACCCAGGGACCGTTTCCCAGCCTCACTACCCAAGCTCCCTGCTGCCCCCACCTCTCTCAGGAAGCCCGAGCTGCTCTGACCTCCAAACAGCTTGTGCTCCTTTGCACCTTTGTGTTTCTAGCCCTTACGCCCTCTTGTTCACAAGTAAGGAACGCAACTTGGGATACCTTAAGCAAAAAGTGGTCTTTTTGTAAGGAAACAGGCTTCTCAAGGGCTGGAGGCTCATGGCCAATCCTCTGGAGGGGCTATGGGTCAGGTGTCCATTCCTTGTCCAATCAGGAGTGGTGGGGGAGGGATTACAGAAGGAAAACATGGCCACTAGGTGCCCATAACCGTGACCTCAAAGGTCAGAGAAGAAGGAACCTTGTGAGTTGGGGAGATGCCCCAAATGTGTCTACTACAGATATAATTGTTTCCATTTTTTAAATTTTCTGCCTTGGCCCTTTCATGTATTTAAGCTCACAGGTTTTACAGATACAATATTTTCTTCTTTTCAAGTCAGTTCCCACAAAAGTAGACGCAGGAAGCTCAATAGAGTGACAGCATATGAGAGCGGCTGGTTTGATGAATGGATTGTATGTGAGTCAAATGTGATTGTCATAATCTGAAAAAATAATTAAAAGTATTTTTATTTTGGAAAACCAAGCAGAGCCCACTTCCACTATCATCGTGCTTTCTCTGGATAACGTGTTCAGGGAGTCTCACATTTTGCCATGGTTTACACACTCACCATGTGTGTGATAAAAAATGGCCCCTTTCTCCACCCCTCCTGATAACCATGTCCTTCACAATGTGATTTTGTAGCTCTTCCCACTAAGAGGAGAGACCTATTTTTTCATCCCTTGAGTCTGGATTGGCCTGTGACCTGCCTTGGCTAATAGGATGTGGCAGAGGTGATGGGTACCAGTTCCAAATCTAGGGTGCAAGAGGACTTTATGTGTCTGCTCAATCGTTTGGAACCCTGTCCAGCTGCTATGAGGACAGCCTGGGCTAGCCCTGCTGCATGATGAGAGACAGGTGTCGCCATCATCCAGGTCACTTCAGCCAATAGCTAGCCAACTTCCAGACACCTGTGTTGTTGCATTATAGCCGATTCCAATACCACCCCCGCTGCATTAGCCTCTAACCCTATAAGTTAGGAGGGAGTGCCTCGGTATGACTTGAGGCTGGTAATCTCTCTGAGGGAGTGTCTCTCGGTATGACCGAGGCCGGTAAAGCTCCCTCTGGGGAGTGTCTCAGGTGACTGGGACCTATTGGAATGATACTAGTTATCTCCCCTGGGAGGACACAGTAACAAGTGTTCTGGGGCTATGTGGCAGATGTGTGAAGGCATAGGATTTGCTGGAACACAATGGGATATGTTAATGGAAAGAGGCCTTAAGGCACACAAATCACACACGGTTGCTAATTGATTGACAGCAGTTTTACTTCTTTGAAAATTCTCAATAAAAGCCATGCGCTGACCCGATTCGGAGCTCAGTCTTCTCTGGCTGAGTCCCTTGGCCTCGCTCAAATCTAACTTTTGTCTCTTTACTTTATTCAATCTGCGTCGCCCCTCACGAGACCCATTTGCCCTTGCCACGCTGGACGTGACACTGTGTGAGGTCATCCTAGACCAGCCAGCCCTCACACTACCCACCATCCGACTGTAGAGGCACGAGTGACTCCAGGTATGCTTAGCTGGACAAGGCCCAGATCAGCAGGACCACCCAGCTGACTACCCATAGACTTGTGAACAATCATATGTGGTTGTTGTCAGTCATTAAGTTTTGAGGTGGCTTATTACACAGCAAAGGCTAACTGATATGTTCCCTTTTGGCTCTATATCCATGGTGTTTCATGTGTTGGGTCTTTAGGCCCTCAGAGGACAAAGGTGTGTCCTACCCACCTCTGTATCTACAGCATGGAGAACCACACTTAGCTGCTGTAGATTGCAGCCATGTCGCTTGAGTAATCTTTGAAAGAGAAAAGAAAGCCCAGAGGGGAGTCGGAGGAGGTAGGGCAGAGGGGGCTATGAAAGAAGGGGCATGTGATAACTGTCTTCTTTTTCTTTTTTTGGGGGGTTTTCATATTAAATAAGCTTTATTGAGATATGATTCACAAACCATTAAATTCACTCATTTAATGGTTTCTAGTACATTCAGAGTTGAGCAGCCATCACAATCAGCTCTAGAACATTTTCATCACCTCCCCCCCAAAAACCTTTACCCATTAGCAGTCACTCTCCACCCGCCCCACCCCCAACATCCCTCAGCCCTAGGCAACCACCAATCTACTTTCTGTCTCTATAGATTGGCCTATTCTGGACATTTCCTATACATGGAACCATACAATGTGTGGACAGCGGTTTTCATCTGTCATTGGGTATATACCTAGGAATAGGGTTTCTGGGTCATATGACAGCTCTATGGTTAGCCTTTGGAGAAAGTGCTGCTGTTGTGTCGGTGAAGATGTGGAGAAATTGGAACCCTTGTACACTGCTGGTGGGAATGTAAAATAACTGTCTTCTTGTGTCTGTTCCGTATTGATCAATACGTCTCCAAAGGGCAGACCGAGGAACAATGTGTGACTTTTACGGGGAAGAAGGGTTTGGCGCTGTATAGAGCATTTTCACTTTCTAACCATCCAGACTCAGTGAAGTAGAAATGGGTTACAGAGGGCAGCAAGCTTCCTGGTATCAGAGATGTCCAAGCAGAGGCTGAGGAACTCCCTCCAGGAGGGCGGGCATCCTCTGAGTGTGATTTTTAACTAAGCAGCCTTGCACCTAAGTGGCTCTGACCCTTGTTCCGTTGCCCAGTAATGCATAGGAATATTTCAAAAAGATTTCATTGCCCAAGCTGGTGATCTGACTCACCCTCACAGCTGCAAGTGATGGGGAAATCTTTTGGGTCCCACTTTTGGCTTAAGAAAACAGGGTCCCTGCCTTCTTTGAGGTTCCTCATCTTCTAAGTATTCTGCCAGCGGGAACCCCCTTCCCCATGCCGCAAGTCACCCAAGGCTTTGAGGAAGAGGAGTCCTTTTTCCTTTGTCACCCCTTCCCCTGTAGCTGCCCTGACCACACCTTCCCACCCGGGGTCCTATCCCCAGAGGACTCAGTTGTGACTCACCCCCTCCCCACCAGTTTCCTTTCCCAAACAGGCCACCGTACTTCTCCAGACGTGTGTCTGACAGAAATGTTCAATGACAGCATAATGTGGGATGTTGTTTTTTTAAAGATAGTTTTATTGGGGAATTGGGAGGATGGGAACAGTGCTGGGGAATTAGGGGAAGGAGAACAGACAAGTTGCTGTCCTTTTGTTCTTCAATCTAGTTGTGGAGGACGTTGCTTCACTGGCCCAAGTTGGCACCATCATTGCGCTCTTCCCGGGGGAGGCAGATCAGTCGCCGGCTTCTGGTCGGCCGCTCACTGCGGATGCTGGCCACTCACGCTGGCTGCTGGCCACACACGGTAGCCCATGGCAACCCACTGCAGCCTACGCCGTCGCCGGCGACTCACGGCAGCCCAGCTCCAGGTTGAGCTGTTGTTCAGCATCTTAGCTGTGGAGGGCAGTGTCACTGGCCCTCATATGTGGGATCCGAACCGGGGCCCTCTGGCGTCCCAAGTCAGTTCTTAACCATCGTGCCACTCGGCCAGCCCATAATTTGGGATATTTTATTGCAGGGCCCTGTGCTCTGCTCAGAGCCCTCAATTGACCAAGACACGGGGAGGCAGTTGGATCTCAAAGTTCCAAGGGCCTGGGACCTAACGGCCACGATTCTAAAGAAGCCCTCCCGCTCTGCCAGGAGACCCATGCCTCATCCGCATTATGACTGAGCGGCCCACCTTCTCACTTCTTTTACAGCCAATCCCACCATCGTCCAAATTCCCATTGATGTGTATTAGGCAATGAACGGACCTTCTTCTTGTGTTGTCTTTTTGCTCCATCCAGGATAGAATTCTGAATAAAGGTCAGTATTTAGGTCCCAGAGGAGCTCTTGAAAGCATTCCCACATGGGCAGAGCACAGGATGGTGAAGGGCCCTGGGATGGAGTTCGAGGGACTTGGAACAGGAGGACCAAGGACGTGGGAGCTCTCAGTCCTCCATCTTGACATCTGTGTTGATGTTCATCAGCCCTCAAGAAGCTGCTGATGTTGTTAAGAGCCCCTTGACAGGACTGTGAGAGTTGCTGAGGTGGACTTCTGATTAATCTTTAGTTTTCAGAGTCTAGAAAAGTGGGAGGGAGGGCCCACTAACCAAGTGTCTTAGTTATTTTTTGCTGTGTAACCAACTGCCGTAAACTTAGTGGCTTCAAACAACACCCATGTATTATTTCACTGTTTCTGTGGGTCAGGAGTTGGGCACAGCTTAGCAGGGTCCTTTGCTTGGAGGCCCACAGGCTGCGCTCGGGGCTGCCGGGCTGCATCCTTCCAGGACTTGGCACCTCCCCTCTCCCAGTTGTGGACAGAATCCCGGTCCTTGTGGGTACGGTACTGAGGCCTTGGATTCCTTGCCACATGGCCCCCTCCGTAGGCACCTGACGGCATGGCCGTCACTTCTCAGGGCTAGAGGGAGAATGCTTTTCTCCAGTCTGCTAAAATGGAGCCTTAATGACATAATGTGATCATGAGAGTGGCTTCCCATCACCTTTGTCATATTCTATTGGTTAGAACCGGATGGGATTATACAGGGTGTGACTCACTGGAGGTCATCTTAGACTGTGCCGGTCCATACAACAAGTATTTTACAAATCTTGTTTACCTCAAAAGAGCCTGAGGAAGAGATGGCAGAAGCAGCCATCGACTCAAATGAAGACCTGTCAGAGGAAACAGAGGACCTGGAACCTGTGGAGCAAGATGATGGTGGTAAAAAAGTCACCCACGTCCTTGCATCCCATCTTGACCACTAACTCCTTGAGGGCTAGTCCTAGCTGAGGCCTCAGTTTCTCCATCTGTACAGTGGACAGGGAGGTCCCTGTCCAATCATGTCACAGGTGGAGCTAAGGCTGTGCAGTGTCAGTGAGGCTAGGGCACAAGGAGCACCTCGTGGTGGGTCACCTCAGCACCACGCCTGTGCCACCTTTGTCTCAGGTACTTTCCAACAAGTCACAAACCTCCTCAACATCATGGACAGTGAGTCAGCAAAGACGGACACTGATGGGGCAGGTCCCGACATGCGGAAGGCGCTGGCCTCGGGGATAATCACGGAGAAAGCCAACACCGAGCCTTGTGTGGTGATGAACGCTCTCATCCGCTGCCTGCAGGTGCCGGAGGTAAGGCCTCCTCTCCAGCAGCTGCTTCTCGGAGGCCAGCCGCTGCGGCTGTTTGTGCATCCCTCCTTGAGTGTGCTTTGAAAAATCTAGAGCATGCATTCTCAATGAGGAATGCTGCCCCCAAATGGGTAAAATTGGTTCTTGGGGGGTGGCTGAAGAAAAACCTTACATTTTTATGTATAAAGCAATGAGATGTATACAGCCCATAAAGAGATACATAATATATATGTGGTATTAAGGTTTTGGAAGGGGAGAATATTAGGGGAAAAAATGTCTAAGAGAGAGAGAGAAAGGGAGAAAAAGGAAGCAATGATTAACATTGGTCTAGAGGCATTCGACTGAACAGCTAAGGCCACAGAATTCTCTTCTATCCAGGAGTTTTCATGAGGAATCTCTGATTAGCATCTTATAAGCCTCTGTTACTTGTTATACCAAGACTAGGAAAGCAAGACTGACTCTCCGTAATGGATTTCACTAGTAGAACATATATTTAGGTGAATTCCTCCCTTCTTGAGGTCATCAAATTTGCTAAGTCTCTGGACTATTGGGTAGTTACTTTATTACCACCTGGGAGAGGAAGCCATTTTCCCAGAGGGCTTTGCAGGCACTGGCCCTCATTCCTTAAGAGTGGCTGGTCGTAACCGATTAAATGATTGTTCTCAAATACCACTCTGGACTCGGCCTGGGTTGCACAATTTCTTTGTTCAATCCCATTCTAAACCACGTCATTTGTAATCATGATAAGCCCTATCTAGGCATCAAAATAGAGTCAGTGGAACATGTCCTGGCCTTGACAGCTCCCTCACAGGGCAAAGGGCAGGGTGAACCACCCTCTTGGACTATCAGTTGAGCCAGTGCCAAGTTTGTGGAGGACCTCGTGTGCTGACCGTCTGACCCTTGCCCTGCTGAGCGTGCCAGGCTGAGACGAGGGAAGAGAGGACAGATTTGCAGGCCACGCTGACAGGGCCAGTTGGAGGCGTCAGATTGGGGGAGGGAAAGGTTGCTGATGAAGATGGGGGAGCCAGGGTTTAAGGCTTGGGCAGTTTGAGGATAGGGGACCCAGGCCCAGGTGGGGTATATAGGAAGAGGACAGGTGCAAGGCGGTAGACGGTGCACTGTGTGCTCAGGCAGGGCTGGGTCTGTTCTTGGCCCCACTGCCCAGTCCAGGGCTTCCCCACCCACCATACTTGTTTCCCAGATTTCCACCCAGCGCAAAGTCAACATTTACAACATCCTCCAGGAGATTATCCAGCAGGAGGGGGAACTGGAGGAGCCGTGTGTCCAGAGGCTGGTCGCCATCGCCTCCCAGGAGATGAGGGAGATCTCTGAGGTAGTGGGGCCCTGGGCTCCATCGGGGTTCCACCCCACTGCCAGCCCTGGACTGGGCTGTGGGTAGGCATGGCCTGGGATGCCCAAACCCTTGCCCAGTTATCTCACAGGGAGAGGGAAGGCTTAGCCCCTGGGAGCCCAGGAGGGCGGGAGAGTTTTCACGAGGGCCCAGCTGGTGGTGGCACCATGCGTCCCTCTCCCATCCACCAGATGGAAGGCTATTTGAGGGCAGAGGTGGCTAGTGACACTCTAGTGTCTCTGTCCCGAAACCACTTCAGCTTGGTCATGTATGAGCTGCAGCACCACCTCAAACCCCTCGACCTCACGGATGAATTTGTCATCGTCACCCTGGCGAAGCTGGCCCATGGCAATGGTAGGGCACGTGTGTCCTCAGCCCCAGCTTCTGGCCCCTTCGGGCCGGCCTCGGGCTCCCTCCCAGTCTTTGCCTCTCTCCGTTTCTGTTCTTGTCTCTGCCCCATGCCCTCCGTTTCTCTCTTGCCTTATCTTTCTCTGGCATTCCTTTTTTCATATCCATGTGTCTTTCTCAGCTGTTAAGATTCTCTCTCTCTGTTTCTGCCTCTCGTGTTGGTCTCTATTCCCCTGTTATTCCATCTCCTCCAAACCTCTCTCTTTCCTCTCTCCATCTCTGGCTCCATTTTTGTCATCCCCCTTTCTCAAATTTTCTCCTTTCTCTCTCGTTCTCTCTCCGTTCATTCCACAAACAGGCACTGAGCTCCTGCTCCATGCAGGGACTGTGGTGGGTGCTGGGCCACATGCATGGTCTCTGCCCTCATAAAGAACCATAAACAAGAAAATAGGTGATCACAATCTGAGATGATGGGTGTGAAGAGATCAGGATGAGGGGAGAGGACCTCTTCCCTGTCAGGTCCTCATGGAGGTAGTGATATTTCAGCTGTGACCTGAAGGGTGAGCTGCTGCGTGAAGAGCAGGCTGGGGGAGAACCTTTTGCACTAAGAGATCATCACGTGCAAAGGCCCTGAGGCAGGAAAAAGCTTGCTTTCTCTGAATAGCTGAGAGGTCACTGTGGCTGGAGTTAGAGAGTGAGGGGAAGATGGTATAAGATGAGGTTGGAGAGTTAGGCAGGCCGAGGTGGTACAGAGTCTGGCAGAGTCTGGGCGACAACTGAGGGTACTAGAAAGCCATTGAAGGATTTTAGGCTGCAGGCTTCCCTGATGAAACTTAGGTCCCAGGAAGACCATTCTAGCTGCTGTGTGGATGGAGATGGATTGGGAGATGTGTAAATGTGAGGTGACGTTGGCTCGGGCTGGATTGCATTTGGTGAGCTGTGGACAGATATGAGATCTAGACGGGGCTCTGGTCGATGGGACTGCTGATGAGTTGTGTGCAGGAAGAGAAGGAGTAGGAGGGACCAAGAGCAACTTCCATGTTTCAGGTCTGAGCAACTGGGTGTGTGGTGGGTTCACTTCCTGAGATGGGAAACACGGGAGAAAGAGAATTTGGGGGCTCAGATAAAAAACCTCATTTGCATATACTGAGTTCCCACTCCTCGTGAAGTGTCCAAGTGGAGAGGCCATGTGGGGAGCTGGTGTGTGGATGCGAGTACAGAGTGCAGGTCTGGGCTAGGCCTTCCTACCAGGGGCCCTTGGACTGACCCCGAGAGAGTGAAAGTAGACAGAGAAGAGAAGAGAGTCAGCACCCAGCCTGGAGAAGCCGCAGCACTGGGAAGGCTTAGGGGGATGGGAAGGGAGTGGGGAGGTCAGGATGGTGTGTTGTCGTGGGGCCTGTGAAGACGAGCGTGATTCAGAGAGGGTCCAGGGGCCAACGGTGACCCTCCTTGCAGGGGGGTCCAGTAAGATGAGGCTGGAGAAGGCCTCTTGGCCAAGGAGAGTTTCGTGGCACGCCGGGGATGGGGGCCTGGGAGGGCTGGAGAGAGATGGGAGGATCAGTGCTCGCTGTAAGGGGAGAGGAATGACATGGCAGCTGGGGGGCTGGCGGGGCAAGGGAGGGCGGAGGCAAGACAGCCAGGACAGAGGGGCAGGTGGAGGGGAGACCGGAAGGGCCCAGCCAGGGAAGGAAAGCCTGAAGGTGAGTTGGCGGGATGGGGGCTCCCAGCTCTAGTGGAGGTCGGGGCTCAGGGGGAGTGGAGAGGGTCTGCCAGCAGTTTCTCTTCCACGTCTTACCTCTCGCTTATCCCGTCTGTTTCCTTTCTTCTGTGTGCCCATTGCCATCTGGCAGTCCCTCTTTCTCACTCGCTGTTTCCCTGTTTCTTCATTCATCTAAGAACATTTGTGGGACACCCAAAGGGGCCAGACATCTTTCCGCGGGGGCCGGACGTTCTCTGAGAGCTGGCTGTGTCTCCTCTCTTTCCTGCTCTTCCCTGGGGCCCTGTCGGGGCTCTTTCTCCTGTCCCCCCCCCCGTTCTGCCCCCTCCTCTTCTCTCCCCTTTGCCCACGTATAGCTCCCTCTTTTTCCCTCACACGGACTTCCACACCATTTCCTATGACCCCAGTGGTGCAAAGGGGTTGGTTGCCCTGGCTTGCGATGGGTGCGGCAGGGGCCGGGTTGTCCGCCCCGCCTTCCCCCTGCTGACCCCTCCTCCCGGCGGCCTCTCCCCCACCGCAGTGTTTGAGTTCATGCCCTACATGGGCATTACCCTGGCTACCATATTCACAATGCTGAGACTCGCCAACGAAGCCAAGATGCGCCAGGTGATCTGTAGTGGTACGTGTCCCGCGTGGGCCTGCAGGTCGGGCCCCGATCAGGGTGCTGGAGGGGAAATAGGGGCACGGAGCAGGTGGAGGGGCTGTTGAACAAGAGGCAGGCTGTTTGTTTATTCCCAAACATTTGCTCCGTCTGCCACTTTGTGTGGCTTCTGATTGGTTCTCTGGGAGGGAAAGGTGGCTTCGAGGGAGGCAGCCGTCCCTGTGACTGGATTTAGCGTGCTCTGTAGTTAAGCATTTGGGGAGAAGGCCAGAGGAGGGTGCTAGGGTTTATGGGAGATGGAGATCAGGGGAAATGCCCCCATGTTGGGCCTGACTTGGGCAGGTCTTCGATGCTCTCTACATCTGATCTCCTTGCCCCAGGTTTTTTTGTGTGTGTTTTTTTAAGCTGAGCCATCCCGCCACCGGTTGGCAGCTCAGCGGCTGCTCAGCTCAGGCCGGGAATCGAACCGCTGTTGCTCAGAACTCACACTCTTGAACGAGCTCTTAACCAACTGAGCCACTCGGCCGGCCCTTAGGTTTTGATTATGTAATGTTTACATGGTCCCCAAGTCCCTGACACCTGAGAAAAGTGGGGCAAACTCTGCACTGGAGTTCCCAGGATGTTGGTAAACAGTCATACTCTAGGTCCCACCCTTGACCGCTATCCGTGAATCTCAAGTGACGGGGCCTGGACACACCTGTGTGCTTAACACCCCCTTGGGGGTATCTTTCACATATAGGTGTATGAGATAGAAATTAGAAGGCTGTGAGGGATCGGAAGGGCAGAGAGGGAGGGACACAGAGGGAGTTTTCCTGGGCTGTCTTTGGCCATCTCAGTACCCTGCTAGCTGTGGAAGTGTGTGAGCGCCCCCTCCCTCCTGGAGAAGGTGGCTTGGGAAGGCTTTGTGCTGCTTCCTGCCCCTCTGGGCTCACCCCTCTCCCTACGGTAGCCATAGAGACCTTCTGTGAGACAGTGCAGTTCTACCTGAAGCATCTGGAGGACAGTGTGTACCCCGTGATGACCGAGGAGCAATTTGCTGTAAAGCTCTTCCCAATGTATCGCTATTTTGTGACCGTGTGGCTGAGGAACCAAAACCCAGAGGTGAGACACGCCCTTCTCTAGGGGGCCCTGCCATCCCCCCAGGTCACAGCTCCCCGGCCTGTGGGGCTGGAAGGGATGAGGCACCACTGGGTCCAGCATCACTCCCGGAACCCCAGAGAGACAGCAACTTGACTAGTGGCAGAACTGGGAGCTTGTGACGCTAGATGCATGGGCCCTGGCACCTCAGGAAGCCAACGTGATACAGCTGTTAGACAAGGGGCGTGTTACCTGCATGCAGGTGCTCTCCGAGCGGTTCACCTATGGGAGCTATCTCCATGCCAACGCTATGCTGTAGGACTGTTTTACAAATGGGAAACTGAGGCACAGAGAGGTTTAGCTCTTGTCCAAGGTCACCTACATGACAGAGCCAGGACTCATGGGGACAGCCTGGCCTCAACCTGCCCACCAGTGAGGCCTCGGGTGAGACCTCCCCCTACTTCCAAGGTCCCCTGTATCACATGTCCTTGCTTCTGTGGACGGGGCTGACATCCCTGGGCCTTTCCATGGGTCCTGGGTCAAGGAGTCCAGAGACCCCGCTCCTATGGTAGGTGAAGCTGGCGATCATCAAGTCCCTGAAGCCCATGCTGAACCTGCTCCTGCCCAACGATGACCTGCGGGAACAGGTGTACGACTACATCCCCCTGCTGCTGGCAGAGTACCAGAGCAACCTGGAGGCCATCTTCATCACACAGGTGTGGGCTAAGCAGGTGACCACCTGGGCTGAAGACTCGGTTCTCATGTGTCCCAGGGGGTGTCACCTGGGTGGAAGGTGGGATGTCAGATATTTTGACATCTGACAGCAGACTCAACATTTGTAACCTATGAGGGGCCATAGGGCCTGTCACTTTTAAGGTTTTTGGGAAAATGCTGCTGTTCCAGGTAGAAGGGACACGGTTCCAAAGGGTCTTAGGGGCCGTAGCGAGGCTGTGGTCTTTGTATTAGTGTCCTAGGGCTGCTGTAATAAAGGACCACAAGGCGGGTGGCTTAAAACAACTGACATTTATTCTTTCATGGTTCTGGAGACCAGAAGTCCAAGGTCAAGTGTTGGCAGGGCTGCACTCCTTCTGAAGGCTCTAGGGGAGAATACTTTCTTGCCTCTTCCAGCTTCTGGTGGCCCCAAGCATTGCTTGGCTGTGGCAGTGTCGCCCCAGACTTGCCCTTCATTTTCACATGGCTTTCTTCTCTGTGTCCTCCCCTCTCTTCTTAGAAGAACACCTGTCATTGGATTTAAGACCCGCCCTAAATCCGGGACGATCTCATCGGAGACCCTTAACTAATTACATCTGCAAAGTCCCTATTTATAAACCAGGTCACATCCTGAGGGTCCAGGGGGACATGAGTTCTGGGGGGACACCCTTTAAGCCATGACAGCTTTTAACCCATGTGGTGTAGAGCTGTCGCAGGGCTCTGAGTGGAGGTATGTCTTGGGCTGACGTATACGTATTGTCCAGTGGCCACTCATCTACAGATGAGGCGTGGTCCTTACCTGTACAAGCAAGGAGAAGAAATGAATGTGATGGTTTTAGGGAGCCACCTGTAGATCATTCTGGCTAGAGAACGGGATTCACCTCCAGGTGACTAGGAGAGAAAGGTGAAGACAACCTAGAATGTCACACTCGGTGGCCTAGCCCAGTGCTTGCCCAGCTCCACTGTGCACAGGAAGTGCCTGGGGGTTGGTTGAAACACAACGTCGAGTTCAGCAGGTCTGCAGCGTGGCCCGAGAGGCTGCATTTTTAACCACCCTGAGTGGCAACGGTCTAGAGTGTGACTCTGTATTAGTAGAAAGTCACCTGCCTCCATCTGCCTATCCGTGGCAGGTCTTGAGGCAGATCTTGGACATGTCGGTCATCACCAGCACCCCCGTCCCCCAAATGCAGCTAAACACCATTTTCACGGAGCTGCACGTCCAGGTGAGGCCAGTGAGCTTGGCTGGGCATGGTAGTCTCAGGGTGGAGCAGCAGGAAGTGGGCTGCAGCTGGTGGCATGACCCACCAGGGCAAAGGGGAGATGGTGGTGGAGCCCCCGTCTCTCTCATATACACCTGCATCCTGCTGTCCAGCTGTGACCTCACTCGCCTTCCCTGCACGCCCCCTCCCCAGGTGTGCACCAAGGCCCCTGCCCAGCAGCAGTACAGCAGCCAGAACCTAATGGAGATCGTACACTGCTTCATAGCCCTCGGTGAGGCTCTGTGCGCCGGCCCGGGCTGCCTCCACCCCTCGCCCTGGCTCCGTGGGCATGACTAAAACGGTCCTTCCCCCTGCAGCCCGCTCCTACCCCAAGGAGCTGATGAAGTTCTTCCTCAGCCAGGCGGAGATAAGCAAGGAGGCCACCCGCCTGGGGACCCTGACTCTGATTAGGGCAGTGGTGAGCGCAGATGGTGAGCGCGGGCAGGGCGGCGGGTGGGGCCAGGGGAGGCGGGCCTCGTCCATGTCTGCACCTCTGTCACTTCCTCTTTTGTGGACGTTACTGAGTGGGCCAAGGAGCACAGCTCTCGGCTGCTTCACGTGTTCTATCCTTGAACCTAACCAACACCATGACCCACCCTCCCCAACCCCAACCCTCTCTTTAAACCTTGAGTCTCAGCTTCCACGTGAGTCTGAATTTCAAACTGTTAACCTGAATCCTAGTGCTAACCCCAAAGCTAAATCAAAAGTGAATATGAGGCCTAGTTATATCATGTGGGTAGAGCCCTAAAGCCTCATTGACCCAATACCCAACCTTAGTCTGAACCCCTGATTCTAAATCCCTAAGTCCAAACCTAGCCTTGATATCAAAAGGGAAATACTGTCCCCAACCAAGGCACTAGCTCAGACAGCATGTTTTGAACAAAGGCGCCCCCTGCTGGCAGCATGCGGCCCTGCATGTGTATGACCTGAGAAGAGCATGGGTGGCTTCCTCTGTTCAACACTTCAACTGGGTGCCTTTGTGCAGTGCGCAAACTGGGCAACTGTATGTGAAGGACCTTCTGTTGACAGTAAACCCTCTATTAAAGAAACTCAAACGTAAGCAACAGCGAGACCATTTTTACCTATCCGATGGGCAGAGATGATAATGACTAGAGTTGGCCTAGCCATTTTTCTGTAAAAGTCCAGATAGTAAAAATATTTTCAGCTTTGCAGGCTATATGGTCGCTGTGACAATTACTCAACTCTGCCACTGTAGAGCAAAAGCAGTCATAGACTGCAATGTGTGGCTGTGTTCCAATAAAACTTTATTTACAAAAACAAGCTTTGGGCTGGATTTAGCCTGCCCACTTTGCTAATCACTGGTCTAGAAGAACAAGTAACTAGCTTCTTATGCTTCATTGACAGGGGTGTAAATTCATAAGGAATTCTCAGTTGGACGCTCAGTTGGTTAGGGACCAAAACCTGGGCTCAGCTATCCAATTTTTTGTCAATTGTCTGAAAGAGATAATTGCCCAACGGTAATTGGACAAAGATGTTCATTATAACATTATGCATTAAAGCAAAACAGAAAAAAACCTGAATAATCTTCTATAGGGAATTTGTGGAATAAATGATAGTACATCTGCATAATGAAATAGTATACAACCATTAAGAGTGTAGTCAATGTACACTTTTTCATGAAAAAGCTGCCCTCTATAGATTAAGTGTACCAATACAGCATGGGACAGTATATATTGCATGACCTTGGCTATTTGAAAGAAATCTGTATGTTTATTTATGCAAAAAATTAGAAGGACACACCAAAACTATTAACAGTGGTTATCTTTTATTTTAGTTTTGCAGTGAATATATGCTATTTTTATATGCCGAAGAAAAGTATCATTCTCTTTAGTGCCTGATTACCTGCCACCCTCTATCCCATCCTCATTTTGTCCTCTTTTCCCTCCACCAGCATTGACTTCCAGTCACATCTAGCCTTGAGTATAGCATCAACCTGGGCGCCTAACTCTAATTCTGTCCGTACCAGATCCTTCCAGAACCTTCTCATGGTGGCGCCTTCTCACCTCCCTTAATCTTCCTCCTTTTTTAAGTGGGTGTGCTGTCATCAGCTCTACAACTAGCAAACACATAGCAGCACATCTTTGTGTGCCAGGCACTGTGTTAGCTCATTACTGCTCCCAGCAGCTCTGTGAGTGAGGTACTATAATTATCTCCATTTTACAGGTAAGGACACTGAGGCACAGAGGGTCTAAGTAATTCACCTGAGGTCACACAGCTGTGATGTGGCAGGGTCAGGATTTGCACCCGGGAAGCTTGGCACTGGAGCCCAACTCTCCACAGTTGTGCTTTGCAGCCTCCATGTGCCCACTGTGTGCCCAGCACTGTGTGTCCAGCTGAGGGTAGTAAAGAGCTCTTAGGTTGAGACCCCGCTTTTCAAGGAGAGTCCAACTGGATTCAAAAGAGACACACAAAGCAGAGGCCAAGGGAGCAAAGCATAAGCACATTGCCCCCTGGGTTGGGGGACAAGGGGTTGGGGGGATTGAGGGGACAGAGGGGCTTCTGAGGGAAGTGCCCCTCAGCATTGGCAGTGAGTTGGAAGCTCTCAGGAGGCTGTGACGTGGACAGACCACCCGACGCCTGGCTCCCTGTGGAAAGTGGCGGGCTGGCCTGTCTGGGTAAGGCTCCGGGCATCTGCTCAGCTCCCAGCCCTGAGGCTGGTGGCCCTCCAGGCCGGTTTTCCTCTTTCAGAGCCCAGAATGAATATCAAGACCATCTACCTGGCCATCCGGGTGGTCAAGAACACCCTCTCTGACACGCGCTCCAAGGTAACAGGGCCGAGGCCGGCAGGGGCTGGCGCTCGGGGATCTCCGCAGGGAAGCAAAGGGGAGCGGGAAGGGCAGCCTCCCCTCACGGGCGTGGCCTTCGCTCCTCCCCAGCTCTGTGGGTGGAGGCTGGCCCCTTCAAGTGTTGCCTTTTGATGGAAAACCTAGCTTCCTGGTCAGCACTGAGTAGGGCTGGAGGAGAGCGAGGCCCATCGAAGCCGTGGCCCCACTGTCACTCTCACTCTCACCAAGGGTACAGGGGCCCTGAGGCCCCTTCCCGCCAAGAACGCCCCCAATTCTAGCTGCCTCGTGCCAAGCCCCCCACCCAGGAGCCCACCCCAACCCCCAGCGTGCCTGCCGCCCTGTCCCCTCAGGTGAGGATGGCTATTCTGCGTGTCATCGGCCAGCTGGTTCTGTCTGGCTTCCAGGAGCGGATCAAAGGCTGGGGCCTGAAGTACGTGTCCATGCAGCTGACCCTATCCACCTACAAACTGGTGAGTGGCCCTGACATGCAGACCATGGAGCCAGCTGGACTTTGGAAATAGTTTCCAAAGCGCTGGAGAAAGAGTGTACCTGAGCCTGACTCTGCGCGCACCTACAATCATGACACGAGTACATAGACACACGGTAAACGGCAGGTAAAGATGGGTGCAACCGCACAGGCCGGAACCTAGAAAATACAGAAAGAGATGCGCAGCCTGAGCGTGCTGGAGCGCCAGTATCTGGGCATCGAGCCCCGTGGGGGTGAGGAGACCACACCCAAAACCACAGTGAGCCCCTTGCCAGCCCACAAGTGGGGACCCCTTGGTTCTGCATTCCAGACAAATCGCCGGGAGAGCTTTTATCAGAAGGACCTGGAGGAGAAGATGGTCCACAAAGTCACCATGGACACTGTGAGGATCATAACCTCTTCTGTCAGTGGGATGACCAACGTGAGTGAGCCCCGGCCACCTGCCCACTGGGCTGGCACGCTGTGCTGACGGCTCGTGTCCGCACTGCCCAGGCTCAGGGGAATGGCGCATGCCAAGAGCCCTGCCTCTCCCAGTCCCGCTGCCTGGGATGCCTGGGGGCCCCGATCTTCCAAGTCCCTGAGCTCTCATCCTTCAGGATCCGGTTCCAGAGGCAGGTCCTTGATGAGAGCTTAGAGCCCCCAGATGCTAGGACAGAGCCTGGCACACAGTAGGCCTCAATACGTATCAGTTGACTTATTGCCTGAAATGTGTTTGTTACCTTAGAGCCCCTTCAGTCCAGGTGTGTGTGTGTGTGTGTGTGTGTGTGTGTGTGTGTGTGTGTGTGTGTGTGTGTATGTGTGTGTGTGTAAAGAAATGATTTTAGTGGTTTAATTCTGAAAACATTCAGTGAGTTCCTACTATATGAAAGACATGACAGCGTATACCAGAAGGGCTCCGTATGATTGCAATACACTGTGACATAGCAATAAGATAGGAAAAATTTACCATGACAGCTCAAGGAGCATGTCATGGTCCATTAAGTGAGGCCACGGGCTAGATGGCCCTATGCAGTGGCAGCTTGTCTTAATAACAGAAATAATGAGAATGATTGCTACAATCCGCTGAGCACCGCATATAGAAGGTGCTATGAGGTGTGCAACAGGTAGAATCTCACTTAATGATCCCTCAAACCCTATGAGGTAGGGTCTCTTATTATTACCTTGTTCTTATAGATGAGGAAGCTAAGGCTCAGAGAGACGTTAATTTGCTCCAGGCCTTGAAGCTGGTAAATAGCGGGGCCAGGATTAAAATGCTCTTTTCTGTTCACCATGCTGCCTCCCCGGGGGAACCCAGGAGCTGGGGATTCTAGTCCTGGCAGCTAGAACAGGCCCGAGTGACAGCACTTGTTAGTTGGTGGCACAGGAGCCTCGTCCCAAACTCCCGGGAGTGTGGAGTGAGGCTAAGGGGGACCAGGATTAGCGGGGGGTGTTCAGTGATCATCCATGGAGAGGGGAGATGGCTGGAGGGCTGGAGACACAGCTGCAAGAATCTGTTTCAGTCAGCGTCCTCCAGAGAAAGAGAACCAGTAGGACATACACGCGCACACACCCAAACGCGACACAGACACGCACATGCACACACAGAAACATACACACAGACATGCACACACATGCAGACACCCAAACACACACACAGGCACGCACACACACCCAAACACGCACATAGACACACACACATGTACACGCACACACACCCAAACATGCACACAGACACACATGCACACGCATGCACACACATGCACATATTTTCTATTTATTTCAAAGCATTGTGCTATGAGGTTGTGGGAGTGGCAAGTCTGGAATTTGTAGGGCAGGCTAGTGGGCTGGATATCTTCCTCCTCAGAAAAACCTGCTTGGTTTTTTTCCTCTTTAACGATGGTATAAAGTCCACCCACATTATTGAGGATATTTTCCTTTACGGATTATGGACTTTTGTCACATCTACAAACACCTTCACAGCCACAGTTAGATTAGTGTCTGACTGAATGACTGGGAACCCTCACTGAGACAAGTGGAGACATAAAACTGACCATCACAGTTGGCAAACACAGCTGGGTCGTCTGCCCAGTGTGCACCTCTCCAGGATTTGGGGTCAGAGGGAGGACAATGGTGGCAGAGGACGTGATGGGTGTGGGGCTGGTGTGAGGTCAGCATGGAGAGAGCTTGGGCAACCAGTACTAGCTGACTCCCTCGGCCATATCGGGTGGGGGCCACTTAGATGGCCCTGACAGAGAGCGGGGTTGGCCGCGGAGCCAGTCATGGCAGAGGCAGTCAGCGGTGGGGGCGTGGTTCTGGAGAACTGGCGAAGCCTACACTGTGGGGGAGCTGACTGATAGCCTCGCGTGGCCATGGGACACCCCAGCTAACCCCAGCCCCTCCCCCCAGGAGTTTTGGGTTCGGCTTCTGTGCTACATCATGGAGACGGACTTCACTGAGGCCTTGACCCCTATCTGCATCAGCCTCACCAACCTGGTGGAGCAACAGCTCCACACCAAGGACGTGGAGGCCAACGTGGCTGGCAGGAGCAGACACGGTGGGCAGCATCCCTGGGCCATCTGGTGGGTTTGGACAGGTGGGCCACTCCGTGTTGTGGTTTCCCCCCCTCCAGGAAGCTTCAGGAGTCCAAACAGCCAGGCCAAAGGCCCGCCCTGCCATATCTGAGGGGGTGTTAGCGTCGGGCTAACTTTCTCTGGCAGCTCACTCCTATCCCCACACCCCTGGTCCAGAACACAGGCCCAGCTCCCACCCTGCTGAGGGCCTGGCTCAGCCTCTCTCTGGGCTTCTGTGAGCCAGCTGGGGGAACTGGAGGTGTCCCGCTGAGTCCTCTGCAAATCACCCCATCGGGGTCCCCCCGATTGAGCACTGTTAATATCAAACTTTCAGAAAAGTGACTAGACACACCTACATATGGAGTGACACTGCTGTTCCAAGGGGGCTTCTCTCATGGGCTGGGGACTTGGTTGGATGGGCATGGCTGGCAGTGGGGGTGATTTGGGGAGCCTTTTAGGACCCAGGGACAGCAAAGGGTGGAGCTTGCTCAGAGCAACCAACTAGACCACCCCCTGCGGTTCTCCTCATGCCCCGATCTCCCCTCACACCCCCTACCCCACTCTGGGCCTGAGTCCTCGCCTGCCCCGCCACACTGCAGCTTCTCAGCAGCCCTGGTCCTCCCTTGCCCTGTGGTCCAAGCTCTGTGCTTGCTTCTTATGGACTCACTGACTCCCAAAGCCTGCGGTTGGGTGGAGGTGGGGGGCAGGTGCTTGACTACTGTTGGCTCAACAGATGCCAAGGTTCACAGGAGGAGACAAACGCTCTCATGGCAGGTCCTGGTGCCCGCTAAAAAGTGGGCGTATCCTGAAAATAGCATCTTCTATACCCCAACGCATAGCACAGTTCTCCACTCTTCTCAGGAGAAGCCAAATGATGTTCTCCATGGAAAATCCCAGTGTAGACCCACTGTCCATTATGCGGACAATGGGGTGGCGTTGGGGAAACACCTCCCAGAGTAAAGCCCCCTTGGGGACTTGGGGGTACATCCTGGTTCAGGCCAGGAGCTTCAGTAGGGATTAACTCTTCTTCCTCAGTGGACCTGCCCGCGCCCCAGAAGCTGCTAGCCCGTCTCCTGGTGAGTGGCTTGCCTGGGCTGTGCCCTGGACTGGCTGAGGCCATGTCCTGTGGCGTTCTCCCTTGGGCTTCCCAGAGCCCTAAGAGGGAGGAGAGAGCTGGATGCTTGGCACGACAGAGCCTTCCCGGTCCCCGTTGTCCCTCTCGGGTAGATGTGTCAGGGATAATGTGCTTGGACCTGCTCTCAGATTCCTCCACTCAGCCTTTGAGCAGCCTCAAAACATCCCCGGGACAATGGCCTGCCTGTCCCCCAGGGTGGGCTCAGTCCTACACCCACGTGTTCTCCTCCCCGTGTGGACTCTGGACACTAATCTATGTGTCCAGATAGGTTGGGGTGGGGAGGGGGCCCGAGGCCTTGTCCCCCATCTCCTTTCTGGGAGCATGGTGCCCGGGGCCGCACAGCCCAGGCAGCGCCCCCCTGGAGTCTTGGTGCCCTCCAGGTGCTGATATCGTCCCCCTACAAGGGGGAGGGCCGCGGGATAGCCATGCTCAACCTCCTGAGGACCCTGAGCCACAGCATCGCGCCCGCCATGGCTGACATGTGGGAGCTGGAGATCCCACTGCTGGTCAAGTACCTGGAAGGTGAGGTGCCCAGGGTGCCCACCCCCGGCCAACTGCCCTCAGGCTGCACAGACTGGGCTGCTGATCATGTGGCTTGAGCAACAGGAGCTGAGGTTTGAGGTGGACCAGCACAGCCTGTTTTGGTCCTTGGCAAGGTGGGGTGGGAAAGGTGGTGTGGTGAGCCCACCCATGAAGGGCTTCGCAGGCCCAAGCTAAGCAGGTGTCCCAAGGGGGAGCAGCAGCAGAGAGTGGCGTGGGTGACCCTTCTTTCTGCAGAACATACCGAGTTTACTTGGAATCAGAAGACCTGGGAGGACAAGCTGATTCAGGTAAAGAGGTGACCCAGCCTGCTGAGGCCAGGGTGGGGAGAGGGGCAGAGGTGACAGGAGGGCACTTGGGAGGGTTGGCATGTGGGGAGTTTGGGAGGCCCTATAGGACACATTCTCCTTCTGTCAGAAGACTTGAGGGTTAGCAACCATGTCCACAGCTATACCTACCAGCACGGGAGAACAAATCAAGTGCTCAGGAAATAAGCATGGGGGCGGGGGGAGCGGGTGACCCTCTTCCAATCAGCCCCCAAGCCACAGCCGTTTCCCAGACCCACAGGGCCACTGTGGGTCTGTGAACGTTAGCGCTGGATCAGGGCTTTATGGTCAGGTGGTCCAGAGATTGGAAAAGGGGCTGGAGAAGGCGGGGGGGGGGCGCCACTGCTCCAGGTCACACAGCCCTCCTGGAGCGCTGCCCGCCAATGTCTCCTGTCTCCCCAGTTTCTGAGAAGCTCCCTCAAGAAGACTCAAGGTTCCAACTGGAGTCTTCGTCTGAGCAAAGAGCTGAACAACCAGATTGAGAGCTTTGACAGCCCCTCTCTGGAGAAGGTTGGTCTCCACAGCGTCAGGGCAGTTTAAACAGGGAGGGGACTCAAGGGATGTTGGAGCGCAGAGGGTCACACTGCGTGTGAGAGCAGCTGCACCTGCCTGCAGAGTCCTGGGAGGAGAGGGGGGTGGTCCAGGCTAGTGAGTTTTAGTTTTTTGTTTTTCTTTAAGAACCTGCTTTGTTGAAGCTGGGCTCTCTCCTTCCGTCACCAGCTTTCCCATCCTTCTCACTTTACTCTCCATCTGAAGATACATCATAGCAGAGTCCACAGGCAAGGACTGAGATGTCTGAATAGGTTTTGGTAAATAGTTAAAAGGGTGAGAATGACACTGAACCACGGAAAGCTAGAGAAGTCACCAGGTTTTAGCTCAGCAGTAAAGATAAGGCCTGCAGAGGGGAAAATAAAGAGTGCGCAAGCTGGGGTTTGGAGCTGGACTCCCAACTGTCCCTACCCGCACCTGACAGACTGCTGGGTATGTTTTCTTACACCTGACTCATCCAGATACGGGATGACCACATGTGTGTATTTCACCATGAAAAGTTTTTGACAAAGCTGTAAACACATTTGAAAGAAATCAGAGAAGGTCTCAATCAATGGAAAGCATCCCATTATTCATGGATTGGAAGATGATGCAGTTAAGATGCGACACTCCCCAAATTTATCTATCATAACTCCAGCAGGCCTTTTCTTTCAGAGTTTTATAATGATCTTAAAATTCATATAGAAATGCAAGGGGCCCAGAATAACCAACACAGTTGTGATTAAAAAAAAAAAAAAGAACAAAGTTGGAGGGCTCAAACTTTGCAATCCCAAGACTGTTTACATATGACTGCAGTAAACAGGACAGTGTAACCCTGGCACAGGATAGACATATAAATTAATGGAATAGAACGGAGAGTCCAGAGATAAACCTCACTTTTACTGTCAATTGATTTTTGATAAAGGTGCCAAGATAATTCAATTAGGAAAGAACACTCTTTTCCACAAATGATACTGGGATGACTACATATCGCCTTACAAAAGAATGAAGTTGGACCCCTTCCTCACAACATACACAAAAATCAATTCAAAATGGATCACAGCTGTACATAAAAAAGCAAAACTAAGAAACTCTTAGAAGAAAACAGGTGTAAATTTTCTTGACCTTGGCTTGGGCAAAGTCTTCTTAGATATGACACCAAAACCACAAATGATGAAAGAAAAAAATAGATAAATTGAACATCATCAAAACTAAAAACTTGTACACTGAAGATAGTACCATAAAAAAGGTGAAAAGACGCCCCAGAGAATTAGAGAAAATATTTGCAAATCAAGTCCCTAAGATGCATAAAGAACTCATAACTCAATAATAAAGAGACAAATAAGCCAGTTAAAAACAAGCAAAGGATCTAATAGTTCTTCAGATAAGATACACAAACGGTGAGTAAAAACATGAAAAAATGTTTAAGATCATTAATTTTAGGGAAATGCAAATTAAAACTATAATGGGGGTACTACTCTATACACACAAAGATGGCTATAATAAAAAAGACAGATAATAGCAAATGTTGACAAGAATGTGGAGATGTTTAAACCTTCATATATTGCTGGTGTGAATATAAAATGGTGCAGTAGCTTTGAAAAACAGTTTGGCACTTTCTCGAAATGTTAAATATAGAGTTAACATGTGACCTAGCAATTCCACTCCTAGTTATATGCCCAGGAGAAATGGAATCATATATCCATACAAAAACTTGTACACGAGTGACCATAGCAGCATTACTCATACAGCCAAAAAAGTGAAAACAACTCGGGTATCTTTCAATGGATGAGTGGATAAACAAAATGTGGTCTATCCACACAATGGATACTCTTTAGCCATAAAAAGGAAAAAGGAATGAGATAAAAAGGTTGACATTTGAAAATATTTTGCCGAGTAAAAGAAGCCAGATGCACAGGAACACAAAAGATCATATAATATATGATTGTATTTATTTGCAACGTCAAGAATAGGCATCTCCGTAGAAACAGCAAGTGGATTGGTGGTTGCCAGAGGCTGGGGTAAATGTAGGTCGACTGCAAATGGGTACGGGGTTTCTTTCTGGGGTGATAAAAATGTTCCAAACTTAAATCGCAATGATGGCTGCACAATTCTGTGAATATCCCATTGAATTTGTAAACTTTAAATAGGTTAATTTTATGGTATATGACTTATATCTCAATAAAGATGTTTAAAAGAAGGTTTGTACAGGTGTCAACTAAAAATCGTGTTTGTTCAAATATACACCCTTTATAGGTAAATATGTAAAATAACAAATAGTACATTATATCTTACAGATATTTTCTGTAGCTAAATGCTGTAAATTTGCAGGTATAAGTTCTTATCAGATGTCAATTTAAGGCCAGATGTCCATTTGAAAGAACATTGTATATAGTATTTAATAAGCAAATGCATACAGTTTAACCATATTATAATAACTCACCTAACGTAAGGAAAGTAAATAAATACATAGAATTTTATTGGCTCAGATAACTTTAAAAGGCACAATTAGAAACAGCAGCTTAAGGAACTTCCTCAGCACCCTCCCAAGCTCTTCCCAGCTAGACTGCATCCTCCAGGTGTGGGCAAGATGGCTACCTGTAGTCCAGACTTATAACCCCGGTAGATGGAGCCAATCTCATTCCAAAATTAATATGCAGAAATCATTATCTTCCTATATACAAATAAAACAAAAATGCAATATAATGAAAACAAATCCTATTCAAAGGAGCAGTGCAATGTAAACTATATAATCAATATATATTCAATCCTAAAATATTGACTACATGAAATAACGTGAAACCAATGTGAAGACCACAAAATTACAAGGAGAGGCAGGGAAGCTAAAAGAAGCCCTAATAAAACAGACACAGTAGCTCTTGTTCAGAAACAGGAAGTCTCAGTGTTGACCGTTGTCCTCAAATTAATCTGCAATAGAATTTACAGTCAAATTCCCAAAAAGGAGTTTTTTGTGGAAATTTGACAATTTTCTAGAATTTGACAAGATTATTTCTAAGTTCATCCGAATGAAAAAAAATGTAAGAGAAAAGCTCATTGAAAACGAAGCACAGTAAGGAAGGCTTTACCGTCCCAGAAACATCAAAGAGTTAAGTGTACAAAATAAAACTGTGGGGCAACCAGAATATATTGATGAATATTTTTATAATCTTAACATGGAATAGGCCTTCATATGCATGCAAAGAAACCAAGAAACACAAAGGAAAAGAAAGACACTTGCCCCTCTGAAAATAAAATTTTTCTGTGTGACAAAACAAAATTACCACGAATAAAATCAAAAGGGACATGAGACGTTGGGAAATGCCCAGCTGGGATTGATCGGCCAGTGGAGTCTTCCGATACGCGATGGTGAGAAAGGAGCCCCAGAAGTATAACTAGTGCACTGTTCTGCTCACCTGAAGCTAATTCAAAAAATCAAAACCGAAAAAAGAGAAACGAGCCTCAGATTGCGCCTGATTTTACTTCCTGGTTCTGTCGCTTCCTGCTTATTGTCTCACCTCCAAATACAGCCATTGTAGTTACCACCTAGAGTTGTTGTGTGGAGTAACTGAAATAATATACTAAATAGATACTAAATAAATAATATACTAAATAATACATAAAATAATATATAATAAACAAACAATATGTTTGTTTTTGTTATTTTTCCAAATATACACACAGAGTTCTTACAAATAAAAAATTAAATAGAAGAAATAACCCGACAGAAAACGGGGAAACAATATAAGACAGAAATTCAAAGAATGGATGGATCATGAGAATATGCAAAAGTGATCAACATGATTAGTAAAGAAGCAGACAAAATGCAAATGTCCCAGCTCTCACTGATAACGTTCTATGTGGGAGACAGTGGGAAAATAGGTGCTTTTAGATATTTTGGCAGGAGTGTAAGTAGGTTCAATTTACATAGGAGAGAAACTTGGCCCCCACTATCTATAATATGCTCGACCTTGTACAGTCCAATCCCCCCAGAATAGCCTGAGTATTTATTTTTAAAAACATGTAAAATGCATAGATATCTGCACATTAAAACAACAACCAAACAAACCTGGAGGAAATAGTACGCAGCGAACTCCCCCACGCAGCGACCCCTGGGGGGCTGAGTAGGAAACCCTCATCCTCTGCCTCCCCAGGGCTTCCTGTACCGGGCCCTGGGCTTCACCTTGGCCACAGGCCTGGAGGCCGACAAGGTGGAGGTGCTGCTGCTGGAGCTGCTGTACAAGACGGACTATGGCAATGACTTCGACCGGGAGGTGAGGGTGCCCTGCAGCCCCCTCCTATCTGCCAGAGCCCTCTGGACCCTCAGGGAATAAGGCATGTGCGTGCCTGTCTGTATGTGTGTGCATGCATGTGCCTGTGTGTGCCTATGTGTGTATACACGCATGCATGTGTGTGTGTACTTGTCTGTGCATGCATGCATATGCATGTGTGCGGTCTCCTCGTTTGTCCCTTGCCTGCCTCCTTACCCCAGCTGGCTGGGTCTCCCCGCAGGGCGTGATTCTGTGCTTTGGCCTGTGTGCCCGGGGCCAGGTGAACACTGTGCTGAACGTGCTCCATGACTTTGAGGAGAGGATCCAGGAGTCGGAGCAGTCCTGGCAGATCGGCGCTTGGCGGGTAAGGCACCCTCGCTCCACGACTAGGTCTCCCAGGGCCTCTCAGCAGTGCTCTCAGCACCCAACCAAGGTTCTTACTCAATCACAATAAGAAATCCCCTCTGTGAATCCTGCTGCCAAAGGACTGAGATCGGAGGCTGCCTCCTGCCAAGCTTTTGCTGTTGGGTCATCTAGAGAACACAGAGGGGGCCTTGCCAGGACCTAGTACTGCAGAGTCGTCCTGGACTTTTGCTACTCAAGATGGGGGCGTCCCTGGGTGCTGGCTGGGAATGCAGGGTCCCAGGCCTCACCCGGACCCACTGGATCTGAAGCTGCAGATGCTTTCCACGTGTTGGGAGCTCTGCCTCAGTGAACCAATGGGGCTGGGACGGGGGGCTATAATGCCCACTGTTGTGTAGACGAGAGCACTGAAGCTTGCCCAAAGACACGCAGCTGGCCAGCAGTGAAACCAGGAGTTGGACCCAGGCAGCCTACGGCTGGCCTCTGGTAGACTTCCTGCCACAGGGCAGGCGCCACAGCCTGGCTGAGCCCCCTCGTAGGCAACTGTCTGAAGTCACTGATGCCTCAGGCTTTGGCCTTGACCTTGGACCCTTGCCCCGGGGTCTGGCAGGTTGGATGGAGAGAAGCCGGAGTGTCCCAGGCTTCTGCCCCAGCTTCTCCACAGAGCAGGATCTGAGACCCGAGTGTCTACTCGCAGCCTGGCAGGGCTTTGGTGCCCCTGTCCCTCTTCCACGTTGGGTTTGGTGGCCTCCAACACCTCCTCCCAGCAGAGCAGGGCCGAGGCTCTCTGTTCCCATGGAACCCCAGCATCATGAGAGCCCCTGGCCCAGAGCAGGCACCCAGCAGGTGGAGGTATGAAGGAGCAGGCAGCCAGCTTCCATGTAGGGCTGTCCACACGACCCACCTGCTCTCAGCTTACAGGGGGTCCTGGCCTTGGACTGACTTGCTCACTGCTCTACGCCGAGGGCCTGGCATGTCGTAGGTGCTCAAAAAAGAACCGCTGAATGAAGGAATAAATAAATGAGTATTTCAGGCACCTTCAGCTGACTCAGTGGCTCTTTTGGTCCTGTGACCGGAGACCATCCACGTGCAGCCGGGGCAGACCTGCTCTCTCCTGGGGGGGCCTAGCTGAGCAGTGCTTCTTCTCCTTCTCACTGACCTCGCAGGAAGACCATCCCTGGAGGCGGGAAACTGTGAAGGGCGCCCTCATGGTGATATACAGCTGTGTGGCCACATACTGCCACCCGCAGATGCTCCTCACTCACGTGGACAACCCTCTTACTAAGAAGATCATTCACCACTACACCAGCAGCTGCCAGGTGACCCCAGGATGCCACAGACCCACATCCAGGCTGGTGGAGAGTTACCCTGCATCATTTTCTGGGTAGTAATGAAGCCAGGAGTTGGACCCAGGCGGCCCATGGCCCACATGGGGACATCCAGGAGTCCTACCTGATGCCCAGCATTTGGGAAACCCATTGGCCCTACCTGTGCTATTCTCTGCTGTAGGGGAGAGTGGGGGACAGCCCTTTTCCCGAGTGCTGGGAGGGGCGAGCATGCGTCCCCAGAAGTCACGGGATGAGCCCTCCTCTTTCCAGCCTTTCTCCCTCTCCCTTCACTTCTGCCCCCACCCACCCCCAGACACCTCACCCAAGCCCTGTCTGTCGTAAGCGACAAGAAGTAGGGTTGTCTTCAGAAATGCAAAGGGTCTAGCTACTTCCTTGGAATAGCAAGGAGGAGAAAACACAGAGAATAAAGCAAACATTATTTTATATTATTATTATTAGTTTTTAAAATTGTAGTAAAAATACACATAACATAAAATTAGTCATCATTAGTCACGAACCCTTTTTAAGTGGCAGTAAGTACATTCACATAGTTGCGCAGCCATCACCGCCATCCATGCATCTCCAGCACATCTTGTAAAACTGAAACTCTGCACCCATCGATCTACTGCCCATCCCTGCCCCCTCGGCCCCGGGCACCCACCACCCTCCGTTCTGTCTCTGTCAATCTACTCCACGTACCTCATAGAAGGGGAATCACACAGTATTTATCCTTCTGTGTCTGCCTTACTTCACTTAGAATAAAGGCCCTCAAGGGTCATCTGTGTTGTAAAAGCAACTATGATTGAATCTCAATAGCTTATTCTGCCTCTTTGGTGACACCCAGGGCTCGCTGCCCCCTGGTGAGCGAAGCTGCTCACTGACCGCTGTGGCCCTCGGACACAACTGTGGGGGGTGGGCCTGGGGGAGGCAGCACCTTCCCCGGAGCCCTGGAGCCTGGCCCTCGTCCCCGCCGCGTGGCAGATGCTCTGTCAGGTGGCTGAAGGACAGAATGAGGCCAGCCATCCCTCTGAGCGCCCCTGACACTGGCTCTTCCTCAGTGCAGAGGAAGGAGCGTCCTTATGTGGCTACAGGGTCTGGGAGTCGGGGCTGTGGCTCGGGACCCCCAGGGTCACTCACACATGCTCCTTCCTTCCCCCCATCTTGATCCGGGCACAGGACATCTTCCTCAAAATGGCCTTCATGAAGAGTGTGGTGCAAGTCACCAACGCCATCAAAAACGTCAAGGACCTGGGGGACTTTCAATTTGCCCAAAAAACGACTCTTACTGCCATTATAATGGTAAGCTGGGTGGGGGCGTCCTTGGCCCTGGGAGGTCCTGGGGTCTAACTCTGCTGACTGGCTTCCATCTTGTCAGAGGTTTTCAGAATTCTTGAGGGCATCTGAGGGACACGGGGGTGGAGGTGAGGGGTACAGAGTCTCTGAAGCCCCTTTCTGTCTCAGTTCTGCTTCTATCCAGCTGTAGGAGTTCTGAGTATGACATTCCTGTATCTGATAAGGGGCTTCATGGCCAGGAAACAGGCTCTGTGGTGGCCCTGAGGTGACTGGTTCAGCGCTGGGAGACAGAGGCTGCAGGGGTCAGCCCTGTTGTAACCCCAGTGTTTCTCCACAGGAGAGACCCAGGGGGTAGGGGTCTGCTGCAGGCAGGGCTTAAAGCTACTTTTGCACAGAACTTTGGTAAGATCTAGAAAATGTCAACTGCCCAAAGGCAAGAAGCAGAGACAGGGACTGGTGGAGTTTGGGGAGAGCCAGTGTCCCTGTCTCCAGACCTCCCCATTCCCTTACAATGCCTTGCCCCTGGAAACTGCTCCAGCTGTGCTGGAAGCAGCTCTGGAAGGAAGTGAGATGTGGGTGGAAGAGGAGGCATGGAGAAGGAAAGGAACACCCATCTGGCTCCCGTTCTGGGCCAAGAGCCATACGCATGTAATTTCACGCCAGCCTGGCACAGCCCTGTGCAACAAGCCACTGAGTCCTCGTGCTCCGTGTGAGGGGACTTGGGCTCAGGCAGGGGACATGGTTTGCCCAAGGATACCCACAAGTAAGGCCACCTGAGCGAGAAGGACAGGCCCGCCTGGAGCCCCACGCCTTCCACCAGGTTTTGCCGCCTCCCGGAAAGTGTCCAAGGCCCACTGACCCTAAAGGTCAGGTCTTCCTGGCACTGCCCCTGGGTAGTGCTGCCACCGTCAGGGTCACTGTGGGTGGAGGGCCCCTCTCCTGCCTGGACCGGGGCTCCGGGTGGCCCGGCAGCTAACTACCCTGCTGGGTTGGGCAGGCGATCATCAAGGCGGAGCCGACCCACAGCCTGGCTTCTCCCGTGCGGACCATGGCGATGGATGCGCTCTCGCACCTGAGGTGAGCGCGGCCCCTTCCCGTGCCCCAGGCACTTCCCCTGGGTGAAGGCAACGTCTGAGACCACCCCTCAGGGCTCATTGTGTGGCTGCCCCTACTTGACCCTCCCTGGCTCTGGCTCTCCCAGGTCAATGGGCTATCCGAGAAGATGGGGGATGGCTTCCACCAGCTCTTGCCCATACTTCTCAACAATATTTCAAGTTGGGCTCTTTTCCTTGGGTTGTGGGGTGACTGCCAGGTGGGTGGGCTGCTCTTCAGTCCATTAGATGTTTTAGCAAGAAGTCACGCAGTGACACTGAATAGCACAGCAGGGACATGATATCTTTCCAGTTGGGTTGGGCTCGGTCAAGGAGTATATTTATTGACACAATATTGATACAATTAAACTAAGTATTATAATAAGTAATAAATTACCCGAGGTTGCCTTCCTGGAACTGTTCATGCATCGGTGGGGACCGGGGAGCAAGAAGAAGCTATGTGTTTATAAAATTCGTGTTTGAAATGGTTGGGTCATTTCTAGGAATCCTTCACCAATGTGGGGCAGATTCATCATTTATGCTCATAGCAGAACTCCTTGTTGTTTTACAAGGCAGCACATAGACAGATTTTAAATAAATGTCACAAACATCCCTTCAGGGACTTGGAGAGAAGACAAACACATACACAAGGAATTAGAGGTCAGAGCTGAGTGTTTATAGGTGAACAACTACAAAAAAACCTAAGGCCAGAAAAAGGGGGCTACTAACAAGATGCAATTCAGTTGCTGTAACAGGAGCTGTAAAAAAGAGTTTGACTTCTGACCTGGGCTTAGACAAAATATGTGGATTTGGGTAGCAGCTGGAAGCTCCCGGCAAGGCAGAACCCCTTTGGGGGGGCAGGACTTCAAAGTTAAAGCAGGATGGTGGCTCCCAATCCTGGAGGCACAGTGGAGTCAACAGGGGTGACTTTTAACAATATGGATACCCTGACCCCACCCTAGACCTTTAAATAAAGATCCCTGGAGCCCGACATGGCCCCTGGGGCCCTTAAATTGTAATATGCACCTCAGCTGATAACTGTTGATTAAGGGATGGAGGATAAATGAGCTACGTGTATCAAGCAGCTCCAGGTGTACCACCCTGGAGGGTTTATTAAAACACAGATGGCTGGACACCACCCCCACAGGTTTTCATTCAGTAGCTCTGAAGTGGGACCGTAGAATCTGCATTCCTAATAAGCTCCAAGGCGACAGTGCTGCTGCAGCATTACACTTAACCCCTGGGTCAGGACCAGCCTGGGAGGCAGAATCCATGGTTGTGGTCAGGTTGAAGCAATGGAAATCTTCTGAGCAGGAGAGGGACAGGGTTAGGGCAGGCAACAAGTAGGAGAGGCGGTCTGGGGCCCCTGAGTCACCCCCTCAGTCGCAGACAGTCACTGGACACTGGTGGCTGGGCAGAGCCAGGACCCCTGGGGAGGGGTGCATGCCTGGAGCCCCAACCAGGGAAGCTGGCCTCTGCCTTGCATTGTGGCATGTCTCCACACCCCGGACAGGGCAGGGTCGCAACTCACCGATCACTCCTCTTCTCACGCTTTCTTTCCCTAGCAAAGTGAAGCCTTTCTATTCTACAGAGGAAAACAGTGAGCTGATGGATGTCTGTACACATTCTTTCATTTCTCTCCAACCCCCAGGAGAGGACAATGAGTCCAGTAAGGTAGGTCCCTCTGGGCCACCTCATTTTCTGGGTCAGGACTTGGAGGTTGACATTAACATGGGCAGTGCCCAGAGCCCACCATCCTGAACCACCTGTGAGTGGTTAGAGGCTGCAAAGTGTGGCAGGCCTTGTGCAAGGTAATGTAAGCTGCTGTAACAGATAAACCCTGAAATCTCCGATCTCCGTGGTTTAACAAGATGAAAGCTTATTTTGCATCAAATAAAGTCCAGTTGGCAGTGGGGTGGGGATGGGGCTGTTTATGTAGTTACTCAGGGACCCTGCCAGCTTTACCACATAACTCCGAATGTTCCTGGGGGTACTGATATCCAGCCTGGATAGGAAGAGTATGGAGGATTTACCAGCCACTTTGCCCACCTTCCATTGGCCAGAGCTCAGTCACGTGGCTCCCCCTAGATGCAAGGGGTCCTGGGAAATGTAGTCCCTGACTGAATGGCTGTTTTCCCAGGAACACTGGAAAAAGAGGATGAATCTTTTGTGGTCAGGTAGCCATCTGTGTCTCCAGGGCCTGGCCTTGGATAAGTCAGGAGAAGCGGGCTCTAGAAGTTCAGTTCCCGCCTTTGTAAAATGGTTTCCTCTTAAAAGGTTGTCTTGTGTGTCACATGAGAAGACAAGTGTGAAGAACTCAATTTGAGCAAAAGTAAAGGGGTGGCTACCAGACCATCTCATACTGTGTGCTCCCCCTCATTGATGTCCAGCTCTCCCCTCTCTTCTCATAGACCCTGTACACGAACGCCCTACATTCCCTGGAGCAGCTGATGGAGAGCCTCATGCAGAGGCAGCTGGACCCGAAGGGGCTGCAGGAGATGGTGCACGTGAGTTGCCAGGCGGAGGGCCAAGAGCAAGGGATGGCCAACCCTCCCAGGAAGCTGGCCTGAGGGCCAGAGTCTCTGGGGGAAACAGGGAGATGAGTTAAAAATTGTTTTGGTAATTTCATTTAGGTAAAATTTCAAATTTGCTGAAAAATTGCAAGAACAATACAAAGAACTCCTGTATATTTTTCACCCAGATTCACAATTCTTAATATTTTGCTACATTTTCTTTTTCTCTCTTTCTCCTTCTCATTTTACACACACACACACACACACACACACACACACACACACACACACACACACCTTTTGAATTATGGAGAGTTAGTTGCAGACATCAAGAACAAGAATATTCTCTTATATAATGAAACAATGTTATATTCTAATCTTTGGTCCACATTCAAATTTCACTAATTGTCCCAATAATATTCTTTATAGCTATTTTTCTGTGATCCAGGATCTAATCTGGATTATGCATTTTATTTCATCATCATGCCCCTTTAATCTCCATCAATCTGGAAGAATTCCTCAGTCTTTCTTTGTCTTTCATAATCTTGTCATTTTTTTAAAAAGGCTGCTGGTAGTTTATTTTTAAATTAGGTTGCTTGCTCTCTTATTATTGAGTTTTCAAGGTTTTTATATAGTCTAGATACAAGTCCTTTATCAAATATATAATTTGCAAATATTTTCTCCCAGTCTGTGACTTGTCTTTTTGTTAATTTCAGTGTCTTTTTAAGAGCAGAAGTTTTTAATTTTGATGAAGTCTAATTTATCATTTTATTTTCAACTGATCATGCTTTTGGTGTCACATCTAAGAAATCTTTGCCTAACCCAAGGTCACAAGGATTTCCTTCTAAAACTTTAGTTTCAAGTTTGACAATTAAGTCTATGATATATTGAAATTTGTTATATGATGTGAGGTATGGACCAAAGTTTGTTTGCTTATTTATTTACTTAGCCCATGGATAACCAATTGCTGCAGCATCATTTGTTGAAAAGGCTATTTTCTCCGTTGAACTATCTTTGCACTTTTGTCAAAAATCAACTGACTATGTACGTGTGGCTCTATTTCTGAACACTTATTCTGCTGCATTGATGTATTTGTCTATTTTTACAAGTGTTGACCTGTCTTGATTACTGTAACATTATACTCAGTCTTGAAATCAGGAGCAGATTGTGTGAGTCCACTGACTTTATTTTGGCTGCTACATCCCATGTGTGCTGCTCTATGTATTATTAAGCTCTATTAATTAGATGCATGAACGTTTAGGCCCTGGAATACAGGGTGGGCTGTCCTGCTGGCCCTTTTACCACAGGCCAACATTTGGAGCAAGGCCAAACACATCAGTCAAGAGCCATCTTGGATGCTGGGGGGCGCACGCTCTCTCTCCCCACGGCCGCATCGCTCTTTTCTCCATTGAGGAGGTCTGGGAAGAAAGCTAGAAGTGTTTAGAACCATCCAGAAGCATTGAGAGTCAGATTCTGAGGATGGATGGGGGGGCAGTGGTTGGCCAGGGAAAGGTTGGCCCTGGGGTTTTCATGCCCATTTCTGTGTTCTGGGCTCTATCCATAGCTCATGGAAAAGTGGATCTTGTCGGAGAAAGAATGGGAGAGGGAGAAGGCAATGAAACTCCATCTCCATCTCATGCAGATCTATGTCCAAAGCATCGGCGTCTGTGTGAGTTCAGGATCACCCGGTCCCCCAGCCCACCACTGTGACATCCACAGAGAAGCGCCTGTCTCTGTCTATGAGAAGAGGCAACACTTTTGAAACCAAGTCTTGCTCCCCTGAAGAGACCTTTGGGAAGAGGCTGCCTCATTTGGGAATAGCAGAGACCCCTCAAGGGGCTAGCCTGGAGCTCTGGGGTTGGGGGGTGAGGGTCTAGGCTTGGCGTGGATCCAGGTACTGGGGGGACTGAGGCTCATACCACAGGGAGGGCCCCCTTTAAGAAAAAGGGTATACAATTATGAACACCACATTAGTTAGAAAAGTGAACATTTACGTAGAATGAGAAAATAAATCACTGCAAAATTACAAATTTTATAAAGTTTGACAAGTACCACAAACATCACAGAATCTAGAAAAAGCAATGAGGTACTTTTGTTGATGAACTGTCTGAGACCTTTCTTCCTACATTTGTTGGCTCCATCCTCTTTGAAAGCCAGGTCCTCAGGGTTGGTTGGCATTGGCAGTAAGAAGGATGGTTTCCTGGGGCTGGGGTGTGGGGACCAGCCTCAAGTCTCACGGCTGGTATATGATGAAGATAAGGCAGGTGACACCGCGGTGGGGACGCAGGTCCAGCAAGGTGAGGCGAGGGCTGAGACTAGTAACATTTGAGACACTGTGCAGAGTGTATCATCTGGATTCTCTGATGCAATTCTTATGACATCCCCTGACCGAGGAGGCGCCATTATTATCAGACGAGGAACATGAGGGCTTGAGGTTCAGCACTCAGGTCACATAGCTAGAGAGTGGGGATGCCTAGATTTGAATCCAGGGCTCAGATACAGGAACAAGTCAGGCACCTGGACATCGAACCCGGGCCGAAGGTCAGTTGGACTCTTCAGTTCCTGGCTGCCTAGTCCCTGGGGGCCCAGCTATGGGGCTCAGGAGGCAGAAACTTCGGCGGCAGGCGGATGGTGTCATTCTCCCCCTTCCCAGACTAGGCTGGTGCTTTCAGAGCAGGGTTCCCCGTCCCTGGCCACCTTCTACACTGCCCTTGGGCAGCACCAGGTATGCGTGAGTGGACAGAAAGTGTGAGCCTTGAGGTCTCCTGTCCCTCAGATTCCCCTGAAGCTGGGGCAGTTTGGCACGCTGGTTGGACTCATTGCCCCGTGCACCTGTGACTCTCACAGAAGAACTCGTTTGGCCTCAATGGATGTCCTGTCCAGCCTGCTGGATCTTCACGGTATGGGGAAGGCGACCAGCCTTCCAACAGGACCAGCCTCTCCAGGCCGGGAGGGAGGGCTGGCACCAGGGCTGTCAGCTGTGAGGCTCTCCCGGGCGGAGTGTGGCCTCTCTGTGTAGACAAACCAGCAGAGATGGCAGAGGGGTGCAGGGCTCACTGAGAGGCCATGGAAGCTTCCAGAAATAGAGGCTCATTGGTTCAGCACAACTCACTGAGGGTGTGTGCTGAGCATTGAGGGGCCCCACTGGAACAAGACCAGCTTACGGATACCAAGGACACAGAAAACTGGCCAGAAATGAGCTCAGGGGAGAATGCAGAGTGGTGACCCTCAGAGGGGGAGAGTTTGCCCTTGCCTTGGTGGCTGGTGGGGCATCCCTCCCAGGAGGGCCTCCGGGAGAGCAGGCATTTGAGCCATGTGCAGAGGTGGAGCGGGAAACAATGAGAGCAAAGACAAGAAGGGACGGGACGTCAGGATGCTGTAGTGTGGTCCAGGACCACAGAGCCGAGGCGACCGGAGGGCCAGGGCAGGCGGCCGCCATGATGTGGCTTGTGACAGGGCCCTCTGTCCTTGATGAGCATGTCTGAAACTGTACCCCCAACAGCAAGCCAGACCTGCTCCTCATGGGATGCTTCCAAGGAGTTGGAGCTTGCGAGGTGTAAGGAGGACCTCCAGGGCTTGGACATGGACGTTTTCAGTGCGTCCGCCAGAATCGCCAAGGTGACAAGCCAGGAAGATTGTGTGGGCTGCTGGGCTGGTCTCTACATGCCTAGATCATCTCGGGGGGGGGGCAGGACCTTGTTCAACCTGGCTGTGCAGCCCCCATCCTCTGGGAATCACAGCTTCCATAGCCTTTGGTCTAACTCATGCCATCCATACTTAAATGGTCTATAATATGTAAGGTCCCCATGGGGTGCCTGGCACACAGTAGGTGCTTAAAAGTCCCCAGCTATCTTCTCTCCATCCACACTGAGGGTGGAAGGGGCCCAGAAAACCCATGACTGAAAGTGCCCAGTGTCACCCAAATTCTTGGTGCTAGAGAGGGCTGAGGTCACTTCTGCCTCAGAGATAGAGGCAGCTTCTTGGAGGAGAGAGGCGTGTGGAGCGGCAGGACGGATCGGAGGGTGTCAGGGCACAGGGCACCCCCAGAGGGAAAGCTGCAGGGGTGTAAAGACAGGATAGGGAGGGCTTGGGGAGAAGCTTCCTGGGAGGGATTCAGACAGGATTGGGGACAAGGGACGAGAAACAGGAGGTTGGAGGTCATCCTGGATGCCTTGGGCATCTCTCTGACTTGTCCTCCCAATGAGCCCTGGGAGGCTTTGAAGAGAGGAATGGTCCTGAGTGGGCCCAGGATTGGGATGGAGGCTGAGAAGCTGGGCAGGGAGGTAGGAGGCTGTGGCAAAGGTTTCCAGAGAGGATGGGCGGCTGAGCCGGGGCTGTGATGTCGAGCAGGAGAGGAGGGTCCATCAGTGGTGACAGGTGGGGGCAGGGACTGGGCCCGGGACTGGGCTCGGATCCCAGGACAGGCCTCCTCTGGTCCTAGGTGGCTTGCGTGCAGTTTAATTGTGATGAGGTGGTCTCGCTCATCCAGAAGCTCTGTGAAAACATCGGAGCCATGGACCTCCAGCACGACAAGGCCTCCGTCACCTGGATAGGCACCTTCCTCCAGATGCGGGTCAAGGAGCTAGAGGACAAGGTGGCAGAGCTATGGCCAGGCCACCTGGGGCCTGGGGCTGCCCGGTACACCTAGGCCAGAGGGTGGGCAAGGGTCCGGATGCACTCGCTGAGAACGCTTCCCAAACCCCTGGTTGTAAAGAGGAGGAGAAAGTAGAGTTCTAGAATGAGAAAGAAATGTGTTGAAGGTAACCCAGATAATAGGTAGGTGGTGGACTGAGGTCCGTGGCTGTCTCTCCCAGAGGGCACTGCTTCCCACACTGAAAACCTGATCAAGTCCAGGAAAAGACCAAAAGGATTCATTGGAGGGGGTGCTGGAGTTTAACCTACTCATTATCTGGTTGGGCAAGGTCCCTGGGGAAGGGGTATGCAGTGAGCTGAGAACAGGAGGCCCATGAGAGCCAGGCTGCCCTGGTAATGCTGGCCCTGCCCCCGCACCCCCCAGGTGGCTGAGATCCTGGGTGCCATCCTGGTCCACCTGCCCGTGGTGGATCACCTGGAGGTGCGGGGCCTCCTCATCCAGGGCATCCTCCGGCTGGCACACTACCACCAGGAGACAGTCCTCACATCGCTCCTGAGGCAGCCTCTGCCCATGGAGAGGTGGGTGCCCTGGGGGCGGGGCCACAGCCTGCTGTGCAACCCAGGCCATGCCCGACTCACCTCGGCTGGAATGTCCCAGAGGACCAGGGCCTTGAGGGTACCTTGTCCGACCCCCTCCCTGCATCTCCCGTGGGAAGCACAGCTTTTGGGGAACCATGGACCCAGTTTTGTGAATTCAGTTTAAGCATCTCCTTGTTCAATTTGATCTTGTTGGACTTGTCTCTTTAGCTGTTTGGAACCCAGCAGGACCCCAGCTCTCTATACTTGTGTAACCAGGCCCATCAAGTCACTGTCCTGGGGCCCTCCCCTTCTCAGCAGGGCCATGGGCTTGGACTTGGGGGGTCAGGAAGTCCGCTGCAAATTGTAGTTTGGCAGATTACCTGGCCTACGCAGGCCTCCTGTCCTCTCCTGTGGAATACAGAGATGAAAACTCTTCCTCAAAGATGTGCTGGGAGGAGGAAGGGAGACGGCACGAGCCAGGTGCCTGGGGCCAGCCTGACATGAGTCGGGCACTTGGAGGCTATTACCGGATATGTCCATCGGCCATCAAACCGTAGGCCTGCTGGAGATTTCCAAGGTCACTTAGCTGTGGAGCCAGGGCTTCCAAGGGGGCCGCGGCTTTCCCAGGGGTACTGTGAGCCGGGTCACAGAAAGGTGGTTGAGCGTGGAGCCAGGGACCTGGGTTCTAGTGTAGTTACACAAGCTTTGACGCTTACCCCAGCTCCTTAAGATTCGGCTGCGTGAGTCCAACCACTACTCAGAGGGCTGCTGGGGGTTCCATAGAGGCTCTAGCCCGTCAGGGCACGTGGCCGGTAACCCGCAGTCCTATCCCCTGTCTTTGGCTAGCCACCTGATGGAGGTGTGGCTGGCTGTGGCGGAGAATGTGCCCTTTGCCCGGACGCTGCTGCACCGACTGATGGGCAGGCTGCAGTCGCGGTTCACCCCCAGGACCAACGCTGCCTCCAAGGCCGACACCTGGCGCCTGGCCGCAGTGGACCCGCTGATGGTGAGTCACAGGGGCAGGCCCTGGGGCTCCTCGCGGGGCTGTGAGCAGAGCGCCGACGCCTCCTGCCGCTCTCCCTGCAGACCCTGTGCACCATTCACCTTCTCATCGAGAAGATGGACAAGGATGATAAGCTCCCGGACCTCTTCCCGGACCTCATCTACACCCTCCTGCTGCAGCTCAGCAGCAGCCAGGGGCCGGAGGCTGTGTCACCTGTCCTGAAGACGTGGAGACTTGTCCACACGGGGACCCTGCCCGAGGAGATGAACCTGAAAAGGTGCTCTCGAGGGCAGGCGGCGTGGGGTGCAAAGCAATGGGCCTGGGCTGGACGTGGCTTCGGGCCGCCTCTTAGAAGTCGCTGGATTCCAAGAGCCACTTCCGCTGAGAGGCCATTGCCATCCCCTTCTGGTGGGGAGGAGAAGCTTCTGGAGGCTGACCTTGCTCATACCGCTCGCTCACATGTGTCCAGCACGGCGCAGTTTTCAGAATGTGCAGACCCGCTCTGTCATGTGATCGCCCCTTGGCCCCTTGAGCAGGCCCAGCAGGCGTTGGGACCCCATTTCATAGATGTGGTGCTTGCCCCTCTGAGGCACCTTGGGTGCTCCCGGGGGGCGGGGGGGCGGGCAGCTGCCATGTCATGACATGGTCCCGCCTTCTTCCAGGATCACCATCAAATGCATGCAGCTTTTGTTCAAGAGACTCAACAGTGAGCGGCTGGTTGAAACCCTTGAGGAGCAGGGCGTGTGGGCCCTCCTGGAGAGCAGCTCGAACTTCCTGCAAGGAGTGGGCCTGCTGGCCAGGTGGGCACCCCGGCTCCCACGGGGCGGGCAGTGGGACTTCCAGAGGCACCTCCTTGCTGGAAGCCTGGGTGGGAGCTGAATGCCTCGCTTCTGCGGGGATTGCCAGGTTGATCCGTGTCCCGGAGTCTGGGATGGCAGAAGCACGCAGGGCAAAGGGGGTCTTTTATTCCAACCCTTTGTGCCCCAGGGCAGGAAATGTGAGGTCAGAGGAGGCTTGGGGCTTGCCCAAGGTCACACAGGGCTTCTGAGCAAGGCCAGATCAAGGGGTCACCCCTGAGCAGCCCTCATTCCAGTCCCCTTTCATAAAAAGGCAGTGGAAAGTAAGTACTTCAGTGACACCCCCTGGCGAGGAGGAAGAGGCCCAGAGGTGCTAGATCTGTCCACAGGCTCCCTGCTCCAGAGCAGGCTCTGCCGGAGCGGGCAGGGGCTGAGAAGCCATCCCCGCCCACCTGGTGGGGTGTGGTACCCTCTGCAGGCTGTACATTCAGAACGTGGAGGGCTACGGACGGAGGCTGTCAGAGCTGGTGCTCAGAGGCATGGACTCGGAGGTCCTGGGCTGCCGCGTCAGCAGCACGGTGGTCTGTGTGGAAGTGAGGCGCAGGGTGTGGAGGAAGGGTGGGCTGGGGAGGAGGAGTGGGTGACCCCCGCTCTTTTGGGGGGCTCATCTCAGGGGCAGGTGCCCAGGCTCTGCGGGGCATCACAGTCCAGGGGGCAGGTGAGCGCCCCTCATTTGTGTGCTCATTCACTCATTCATTCCTTCATCACACAAGTAATTCTGGGCTGGCCCTGAGGGCAAGGGGCTCCGATGCAGCCTGTGCCCTGCAGTGTAGCCGCTGAGTGATGTGTGACGTGGGGGGTGGCAGCAATGCCCAAGGGGCCAGAGGAGGGCTGATTGACTTGCCAGGGTCCCACAGTTGTTAGGCGGAGGAGCCGAGAGTTGGGCCCAGGAGTAAAGGCTCAGAATCCGGTCCTATCCACAGGGAGGCCGTCCTGAGCACTGACTGATAACCTCACACACTGTCTCGCGCCTGAGCAATGGGCCTCTGTTGGGGATAATTGTGAAAAGTTCTCCTTTCTAGTTCATGAGCGGCCCAATTCTGTACCAGGCAAAGCTGCTGAAGCCCGCTGTGCTGCTGCTGGAGAAGGGTGTGGACCAGCAGGAGGAGGCCCTGCGGGTGCTCTCCCTGCGTGCCCTCGGCAACATGGCCCTGGGCGCCCCCAAGAAGGTGCCGCTCCCCACCCTGAGCCCGAGGGCCCGGGGCGCAGGACCTGGTGGGCTGAGGGTCCATGCTGGAGTGTTCCTGTCACCCAGGGAGGGCCACCAGGCGGGGGCTGAAGGGTCCCTGTGCCCCCCAGGTGAGGCAGTACCGGAAGCTGCTCCTGGTGAAGTGCCTGAGCTCCCTGAGGGAGCTGTGCAGCACCAGCGTGTCCTCCGAGGGCATGGAGGCCCTGGCCAAGGTCCTGGCCGAGCTCCGGGAAGGAGACGTGGGGTCCTTCTTCAACGCCATCTCCGAGCAGTGCAGGGCCTTCTTTGACAACGTGAGTCCCCATGAGAGCCTTGCTGGGCCCTGGTCCTCTGTGAGGGCTCCGCAGATGCCTGCCCAGGGAGAGGGTGAGCGCTTCTGATCCCCTAAGGAGAAGATGTGCTCAGACCTGCAAAAAGGTGGCAGGTCCGACTTGGCACTGATGTATCGATTGCCTGATCGTGGGATCTTGTAAAATAAAAGCTTGTTCTAGGGCCCACGGGACCTTTCTCCCCGCTATTTGGGAATGAACTTCCCTTTCTACTTCCTTCCAGCACACAAACGCTCTTTGGGCACCCGTGCCGTGCCATGCTGGGTGGGGACTCTGCTAGGCAGTGGTGTGTGTGTAGATTCAACACGACCCTCATCTAGGAAGTAAAAGTCACCAGTACCAGTGATGCCCAGTCTCGGAGCCCTGCAAGAGAGACTGTCCTGATGGAAAGGTCCAGAAGCCTTTGCAGGGGTCAAGGCATTTAAAATGGCCCACGGAGAACGGCTGGTGGTTTTGTAGGGCTTCTTGCTCCCCGAATTTCAGAGCTTGTTTGTGTGTCTCGGTCGCAGGAGAGAGAGCAGCTGCGCTTAAAAGCCTTCCTCCTCTTTGGGAAACTGGCAAAGATGGTCAGGGTTTCCAAGAAGCATTTCTTCAAGGAGGAAGTGAAGAAAGCCTGGGTACCCCTCATGCTGCACTGCCAGGACCCCTGCTCCAATGCAGCCCAAGTGAGACACATCCCGGTCTCGGTGTCCCAAAGCCTGGGGCCCCCGCTGTCCCCAAGAGGAAAATGACCTCTGGGTGTGCTGGCTTAGCTACCTGCAGGCTTCCCCCACCTAACTCAGTCTCCCCGAGAGCCCCGTGGCCTCACGCCAGGCTGGCGAAAGGGGCCACTCAAGGCGACCCACACACCCGATTACTGAGGAGCCTCCACTCTAGGGGGGGGGCTGGGTTTCCTTTTTCTCCAGTCACCGCCTGCAGAGACCCTCCACCAATCTCCCTTTTACCAGATTCACTTTTGGGTATTATGACTCATTCATGTTTAAAACCCTCCCTAAATCTTTCTTCACCGGCTCCCTATGGGACAGGCTTTTGTGTGCGGAGAGGGAGGCTGAGAAGGGGAGCAGAGAGGTGTCTGACTCTGCCACCCTCTTTCTTCTCTCTGTCCAAGGCCCAGATCTTCCATTAGTTTAGGTGGGAAGAGGGAGAGGGAGAGACCCCATCTCCTAGTCTAACGCCTGCCTCTCAGGCTAACACAGGTGGGCTGGGGACGCAAGCAAGTGTAGTGGCGAGCCTCAGTGCCACTGCTGCCACTGCTATCCCTGAGGAATAGACGCTCCAACCTCAGCCTTCCTGCCCTCTAGTCTCCTGTCATTATCCTCCAGTGGCCTAACCTGCTGGAGGCCAGAGCCCAGGGGGCCTGGCCGCTGCAGTGCTCAGTGTCAGGAGGAGCTGAGGGCAGGAGATCTGGGGGGATGAGAAAGCTTGCCTGGTCCTGCCAGTCGCAGCCTGGCCTCGACCCCAATCTCCTGGAGGGGCAGGTCCCAGACAGGGCTGCTGAAGGCATGAAGGTGCTGGCAAGCGGGCAAGCGGCCTGCATCTGCGCCCAAGGGGCTTTTAATAACTGCGCACACAGCCCTTCTATAGGCTGGTGGGGCTCTGGTCCCGCCCTCCTTCAGCATCCCGAGGCTTTTCCAGGGCTGCCCTCTGGCTTTATCCATGGAATGCAGCCCCGCCAGCCTCACCCCTGTGTGAGCCCCCTCCGCCTGCCTGACGCTTCTTCTGCTGTGCTGCCCTGTGTCCCTCCAGGCCTGTATGGCTACCATGTATCAGTGCATGCGCTTCTGGGGCTGGAAGGCCCTGGAAGACTCCTTGGGGCGACGCAATGCCACTGGGGCTGACCAGATGACCGTTTTCCAGATGACCCTGTGCTCCATCCTGGTGAGGAAGCTGAGGGGGACGGGCCTTTGGAGGTGGCCGCCCAGTGGCTTGGGCCTTAGGGTTTCAGCTGCCACAGAGGTCCATCCTGTGACCCTGTGTTCACCTCCTAGATGTGAAGTGTAAAGACCAGTGCTGTCCAACAGAAATAGAGTGTGAGCCACGTATGCATTTTTAAGTTTTCTAGTAGCCACGTTAAGTGGAAAGAGGTGAAACCAAATTTAATAATATTTTACTTAACCCAATAGATCTAAATCTTTATCACTTCAACACGTAATCAATATAAAATTTATTAATTCAGACTAGCCACATTTCAAGTGCTCAAGGGCCACATGTGGCCATTGGCTACTACACTGGTCAGCATGGGTTGTGGACAAATATAATCTCTCCTGTGGGTCAGATAAGAATGTAACAGGGGCTGAAGGAGGCCCCGTCTCTCATTTGCTGTGTGATGCTGGGATGGGCGCTTGCCCTCTCTGGGCAGACCCTGCATCAGACAGATGGGAATGCACTTTTGTAAGCAGCCGGTCTCTAGGACCTCAACCTCCAAGGCTCTGTGTGTCACTTTTTTTTGCAGACTCAGAAAAAGCCTGCTGTTCTCTACAGTTTCTTGCTAGAAACAATGACTTACGTTAAAAGTAACTTTTCAAGGATCAGAATCGCTTCCTGCAACCTAGCAGGTGAGCAGGCAGATGTCTACTGATGCAGGAAGGACCTTGAAGACCAGCGGGTGTGGAGGGGAGGGGGACAGGTGTTGGGACCAGAGCTCAGGTGGAAGACCCCTCTGTCCCACCGTGTGGCAGGCTGGCCCGGTTCTCAACAGGGCATCCTCCACTAACCCAACAGACACCTCTTAAGGTAACACCAGACCTTTCTGACCTAATGCCTGTGTGATGAGCATTTCTCTGGCTATCATTTTAGGAATTATCATGAAGCAGATGTCTACACATTATCTGAAAAAGCTGGACTTCCCGGCATTACGAAACTGTAAGTGGTGGAGACTCAATTGAACTGAGTCCGCTAAGCTCACTTGGGGAGCTTGGTGAACCTGCTCGAGGGGAGAGTCCACCGACCCTCAGTTGTGGGGGTTTTTTTGGAGGGGGAGGGGAGTCCATTTGTTACCTGGCCTCTGCCCCCAACCCCTTCACATTTATGAAATGCTTGCACCCCGATTCCTTCAGCTGATCCACATGGCAACCGGGTTCTGGGGAGACCCTCTGTCCCTGTTAGAGAAGGGAAGCCCCGAGACATGGGAGACATGCATGGATACAAAGCTCCACCCGCTGTCTCCTGACTCCAAACACAGGATCTGCCATGTCTGCAGTCACGCCGGCCCCTTTCCCAGTCAGTCCCTGGGCCCCCGTGGGAGTCACTGGGTCCTGACCTCCAGGGTCCTGACCCTCTCCTGTCCGTGCTCACTCTCAGCTCTCCAGGAGCTACAGTTGGACTCGGATCCTGGGGTCCGGAGGGCCGCCCTGGAGACTCTCAAAATCTTAGATACCTGTAGTCGGCACCAGCTTTTGACTTCACCAGGAGGAATGCCCCAG